ATAAAAAAAAATTTTGTACGGGTTATGATTGCAGGTTTGAATTTTTTTTTATTCTCATGAATTCAATTTCCATTCAATTGGAATCCATTACCATTTTTGTTTTCTCACCTCCATAGATCTTTGTCTTAATTGCTGATGATTAAAAAAAATTATGTTTTCTATGTGTTTGTGTTTGTGTCCTTCAAATGAAATACATTGCTTCAATTCATATTAACTAGTTTCTGGTCATTTTCTTATCCATTGGAAACCATAAAACCAAAAAAAAACAACTCTTTCCCTATAATTTTAATTTTAAAAATGTTGCTGTAAAATTAATTTGATTATTTCCTGTGTGTGTGTGTGTGTGTGTTTAGTGTCGATCATTAATTCATTATCATCATTTTTTCATCAACAAAAAATCAGAAAAACGTTTGTTCATCATCATCATCATCATCATTGTTGTTTTTATCATAACGATTCAATCAATTCAATGTTTCATTCATTCCATCTATTTCTGTCTTTTTTTTCTATATTGCCAACACATTTCTTTGCAATTCAAATCCGATTTTCAAATGAAATTGATTGGTTGATTGATTGATTGATTGATGTCTATTGATGATGAACAACGTCTGATTCATTCATTCATTGATTTTAACCACCAATCAACAAACTGGAATCAAAAAAAAAAAAAAAATTTTCATTGATTCTTTCTCTTGTCTTTATTTGTTTGTCAAACTATTACTGTCAATGATAGCACATTGCAAACACATTGAGATTACCACCAAAAAAGCAACAAAGCTACAATGTGTCCGTTTGTATTTTGTTTTCTGTTTTGTTTTGTTTTGTTGTTTTGTTTATTTGCGGGTCTTTTTAGTATTTATAAATGAATATAAATATTCAAGTTTATCTTTCTTCAAATCATCATCATCAAAAAATTTAAACTTTTAATGTCCAGAGAAAAAAAAAGAAAGCCGAAACAACAACAACAACAACAAAATGTCTATAGAGAAAAAAAATGATGATGAGAAACTTTTTCAAAATGATTATCATATCGCCAGGGTCGTAGTTGTGCCATATGGATTTTTTTTCTCAAAAATTCAATTTCTTTGGCTTTGAATTAAATGATGAAAACAAAGAAACAAAAATCATCTGGAGAATCGTTTTTTTTCGTTTTTGGTTTAGTTCAGAAAATCCAAACATTTCAATCATTATGTCTTTTTTCTTCTGAATTTCAATTTTGACCACATTATGAACATAAAAAAATGACAGATGACATTGTTATTGTTCCGAATAATATGATGATGATGATGATGACGGTGGTCGATATTTAGACAATTTTCTCGTTTTTTTTATGTGACAAATTTTCTTTTTTTTTATGAATTTTACTTTTGAATGCAAATTTTTTCAACCACAACAACAACAACAACAACAACAACGATAGCAACGCAAAAAAAAATCCAAAATCAATTGCATAATATGCAAATAATATATGAATGAATGTCACAGATTCTACAACACCAACAGAATCGACCACAAAAAAAACATACACCCACTACCATCACCAACATGCACACAGATGGTTGATCATCATCATCATCATCATTGAAATCGATGATGACTATGATCCATATAATAATAATAATGATGATGATCATGTAAAATGTACACAAATTACTTATGATGATGATCTCATGTGACCATATATATTGTCGTCATATATACAAACCAGTAAATGTAAGAAAGAAAAGTTTCAAAAAAAAAAAAATGGTATATGATAGTGGTGTAACAAAATTTTTGAACAAATTCTTTTTCCATATATTCGATCCAATCGTACATCTATCACACACACACACACACACACACTGTGATTCTGGACGATACGAAAAAAAAATCGTTATTCGAACAGAATATTCCAATTGAAACATGTGTGAAGATATAATGTTCACAAAAGAGAGACAAAGATATGGAGAAACATATGGTGCCACATTGAAACTATTGCTCGTTTTTTTTTTCGTTCGTTCGTTCGTTCGAAATCTTTTTTTTTGTATAGGGCGCCAAACACATACAATGAGAAGAATAAAAACAAAAAAAAAGAAAAATCCTAAAGATTTAATGGACACCACACACACACACACACACACACACCAACAAAAACACAACAGTAACGTAAAGTATCCATTCTTTCATGTTTGGGGCGACAACCATGGAACCGATCGAAATACGAAGAGAAAAAAAACTAACCTAACCATCACCACCATCATCATCATCATCATCATTTTTTGCCTTTTTTTCTCGTATTTTTCGAAAGTAACGAATGAACAAACGAACGAACGAACGAAATGAAACAAAACAAAACGATCCAAAAAAATCGATCAATTTTTGCTTCTTCTTTTTTTTCCCGTTTGTTCGTCGCCTTTTTTTGTTCACTTCACAATGTTCACATTCATTCTCTAGTTTTACGAATTTTAAGGTTGATTCTTTATGAGTTTATTCTTTATTCTTTGGTTGATTCGTTTCGTTTCGTTTCGTTGTCGAATGTACGATTTCTTATCTCCTTGATAGAATATATCAATATTTCAATGAAAGTTTTGTTGCCGTATAGTAACGCGTGTCTCTTGTAGAGATAGTTCAATAAACACAGAGATAGAGATTCTCTATGTTCTCTATGTTCATGTCAAACCAATCAGACATTCTTTTTCGTTTTGTTTTTCTCTTGATCATCGGTTTTCATTCATCCAAAATAGTAGTAGATTGTTGTAGTCTGAATTTATTTTCCATTTATTTATCTTTTGTTTAAATATTGTTCAATAATAAAAGTGTAAATATATACACTCCACTCTCAAACAATGAACTACATGATGATGTAATCAAGTGTGGAATAACATTGCGATGGTTGGTAGAAAAAAAATGAGATGAGATTCACAAGTTGGTTTGAAATAACTTTCTGTGTTTTTTTCTTTTGATGATTTTGTTTTCACAAAATTATCATCATCATCATCATCATTGAAGTGCTAATGAAGGATTCGTACATCATGGTAATTCTTGCCTTTAGCGTTTTGTTGTTGTTTTTTTTTTTTTTTTCAGAATTCAATTCTATTAGGCAACAACAACAACAACAACAACGAATGACAATCATAATGGGCTTGCTTTGCATTGCACTATTTTATTTTCTTTGTTTCAAATTCTGAGAACAAAACAGAAAAAAAAATTCTGCTGATGTGAATATGTGTGTGTGTGTGTGGGCATGTGATTCGAACGTTCATAGTGTGTTATGTTTTCAGAGAAATGAAAAAAAAACCAAAGGGAAAAAAATTTTCGAAACCAGCTTGAATTTATTTTTCTTTCCCCATTTTAATTCGTCGTTTGAAAACGAAGAATTGAGAAAAAATGCAGTGAAAACATTTGCCATGTTTTCACTGCATTTTGTCGATCGATTATTTTTTCATTTTTGTTGTTGTTGTTGTTGTCTTCCAATGCCATTCCTATTCACATTTATGTTCTTGTTTATTTTAGATCATTTGAAACCAAAAAAAAAAAAAGAAAATGAAAGTAAAAGTGAAAAACCTTATACCCAAATGATATGATTTTAATGGAAAATTCTTGGAATTTTATGTACCATAAATGAATAAAAAACGGGTTGTTAGTGTTATTTCGTGTACGTGTGTGTGTGTGTTGTGACTTATGGAATGGTGGTATATTTGGATTCCGTATGTCAATTATGAAAAAAAAATTTCATTGAGTAAAAATCAATAATTTTTGTTCCTGAAATCATTGGAACCACAAGCACTTTTTCGGTTGATCATCAACCAATATATTCATAATCATGTGTAGAGACTAAATAATAATAATGAAATTTAAGAACAGAACGGTGGCCATAATTAAACTATTACATTGCCGAATCAAATAATGATTAATTACCCCATTCGGTAATTCATTTTGATCAATATTTTTTTACTGTATAATTCTGTCATTTTTTTTGTTGTATGACAAACACTAAAAGTGACTGTCTACTGTGAATGTTCCTGAAAACGAAAAAAAAAAAAAATTCGAATGAGTGGATCAAATAGGATCGAATGTGTCATTGTTGTTGTTATTATTATTCACTTATTATGGGTAGTGGACAATGTTGGATTCATTGGTTATTTTACTGATCCTGAAAGTTTTCGTTTTGTTTTGTTTTCTATCACCAAATATCCATTTAGCTAAATAAGCTAGAAAAACTTTTTTTTCTAGTTTTAGATCTATTATAATATGGTTAGAGAGGGAGAGAGACCACCATTGGTGATCTGTGTGATGTGTGTGTGTGTGTGTGTTTGGTTTATTTTCTTTCTCCTTTGTGGACTGTTGTTATTGTTCCAAAGAGTTTTTATTCTCGGGTCATTTGTCACTTTAATTAGACTTAATTTGAACAATAATAGAATTGAATTGAAATGACCAAAAAAAAAAATGGTAAAACAAATTGTACCTACCGCCGCACGCGTTTACATCGTTACTCTTCCATCTCAGCTCTACATTAACGGTCACCAGACACCCTCGATAAATAAAATAATAATAATAATAGGGTAATAGGATAAAACACCAGACCAATGGTCACAAACATTTCTGACCATCCAGTTAAATGTTTGTTTCAATGTTTCAACGAAAAAAATAAATGAAAACTTTTTACCATATCCCGTACACACACACACACAAACACATTTTGTGGATTCACATTTGATCTAATTTATATTCATAATAATTGCTCTAAACGAACACAGCTCCCTTCTCACTTTTTCTACATAATTTTTCATTCTTTTTAATTTTTATAAATGACAATAGTTCAAAATTCAATTCATTACACGTTGTGTGTGTGTGTGTGTGTTTTTTTGCTGATTTTGTTCATTTTTCTTTTTCTCACTAAAAATTTTTTTTTTTTTGTTTGATTATTAATTGTCATATTTTTCATTTTTTTTCAAAAATTCATTATTTTACTCATAATTTTCATATTTTTTTTTTTTTTTGTTGTTGTTGTTGTTTTACAGAGGATTTTGATCTATTTGTTGGAAATGATACAGCTAAAGATTATTTCAAATTTTTGGACCGTGATGGTGATTATCTTCTCATCGGTGCCAGGTAAATATGAACAAATGAATCAAATCTAATTTAATCTAATAATTTTCATTTATCATTTTTTTACATGAAATAAATATATAGAAATTTTGTCTACAATATAAGCCTACCAACGCTCAAAGAGAATCGGGTAAGTTTTTTGTTTTTGTTTATCATTCTGAAATCCACATGAAAATCTCATCATTGTCCATTTGTTTCGGTATGACAAGTGAAGAAGAAGAAGAAAAAAATATAATGAATGATGAAGATTTATTTCTGGTCATTCCATCATATATTTTTTTTTCTTTGTTTCTCCGAATTCTAATCATTTGTTTGTACCTGTTTTTTTTTGCATACACTCATAACGATTATGATGATGATGATGATGACCAAAAAGACATTTGCTTTTTTTTGTTTACTGCTCTTTTTTTTTTTTTTTTGTATTTGTCCCTCTCTCTCTGTGTGTGTGTGTGTGTGTTTGATGATCCAGAATCATTGTACTATCATTTAAATTCATTCCATATGACAAAAAAGGGAGGAACACACAACAGAAAAGAAAACAAAAAAGAAAGAAAAGAAATTGTTCATAAAAACTCAGAAATAAAACAAAGATCAAAAAAAAAATGGTCATTTGTATTCATTTAGCTAATTGTGTGTGTGTGTGTGTATGTCCAAATGAGATATATCAACAGCAACAACAACAACAAATAAGACGATTCCTGTATATATGCTATTTATATGGTGCTTGTCACATACACAGACAAAATTTTCCCTACCAAGACAAGCAAAAAAAAAAAAAACATCATTATCAGCCACCATTTGTGAATGAATGTGAAAAAAAAAACGAAACGAAACTAAACGAAAATTTTCTCATACACCTGCTCTATGCATTTAAAACCATCATTCATTCACTTCATTTGATTCTATTTTATTTCGTTCATCGAATATCATTTCATTGCCATCATCATCATCATCATCATCATCATCATTAGTCACGACTTTGTGTATGGTACAATATAAATGTGTCACATCAAAATATTCTAATACAAATGGTGAATATACTATTCTAAAATGAAAGTGAATGACCAAAAAAAAAACTAGCCCTATTGGCCGACAATAATATTAATAATGATATAATATTAAATCTATAGAGAATCTAAGCTTGGATTTTTCTTTATTTTTCTCTGGGCTTTCCTTGTTTCATTCATTCATTTTGCCCAGTCTGTTTGTTTGAATATTATTGGCATCTACATTCTGGTCAATTTATTATTATTATTATATTGAATAGTGGTTTTGGTGGTGGTAGTTGATTTTCATTTCTTGTCCTAGTAGATTCATTCATTCATTCATTCATTCATTTTTTTTCCTATACAAGATCAGTATCCGAAAAAAAAATTTTTCGTATTTATAGATTATATTACTATTAGTCTAGATTATTCAATAGTCAAGTCTTTTTTTTTTCCTTTTCACTATTTTATGATCATGATCATGGTTGGTGGTATATGATGATTTGATGGTTCGTTGTGTTGTTGGTGGTAGATGATCACATTTGATTTATTATCATCATCATCATCATCATCACACACACACACATAATCAACTTTGCTCGAATTTATTCGAATTTCTTTTTGAGAGATTAAAAAAAAAAATTTTCTCAATTTGAAAAAATTCAGACATTCATTTCGCATTAAATGTAACACACCCAACTATGTGTTATGATTGTTCATCAAAGTAACCAAACATGATGAAAAATGAAAAACAATTGGCTTCAATATAACGATGTTTATGATGTGGTCGAATAAAAGTGTTCAGAATGGACAGAATTCTCATTCATTCATTCAATCAAGAAAAATGATTCCAATATTCAGTGGCAATCATCACAAAGCAAAAAAAAAATTGGTTTGAATCATTTTTCATTTCATTCTCAATATGATTCGATTCATTATTGTTGCTGTATTGTTGTTGTTCCCTTGGCGATCCACATTTTTTTTGTTTCTGTCCACCAATTTAATATATCACGTCATTAGAATCATTATATGATTGAAGAGAGAGAGGACCAGAGTGAAATGAATTGAACTTTCGCACTCGAATAATCGATTTTTATCGATGTATGTATGATGTTGATGTGAATATAATGTATTCCAATTTTTGTAAAATGTATTCTACATGTAGGTCTAGGGCCAAAAAAAAAAATCTTGGGTTTTCAAGATTCTTTTTTTTCTCATTTTCTTTCCTATACATACTCACACATACACACACACACTTTGAAGACTTTTTGACTTTTTTCTCTCCATCTTTTTCTCAATCGATGTTGGTTCGTTCTTTTGTTCCCATGTGTATATGATTTATGAGCTTGAAAAATAAAATAAAATTGTCTTGCTCACTTGGTATAGAGATTGGTCGGTCGGTATATTTTTTTTTTTTTCGTTGGTTGGCTGGTGCACCAGATTTTCATTTTTTTTATTATTATTATTATTCGCTTTTTTTTGTTTTCTTAACGCGCGGTAGTAATAATATCAGTGTATAGTCATTTTATGATTTTCACTGTATTCGTTTGTTTGTGTTCCACATACAATCATAGATCCCGGTTTTTCAAGATCGTGTGTGTGTTTCACCACAGCACATATATATCCATATAACGGAATAAAGAATGAATAAAGAATTCATCGAAAAAGTGGATTTTCTCTCTCTTTTTTCCTCGAAATGAGCTTCGATTTACGATTATTCTACATGTTTATATGAGATGTGTGTATGTATCCATTATTTCGCCTGGCCTAGGCTACAACAGGTCCATGATGGTCGTTGATGTTTTTTTTTCTTTCTATTCTTTGTGAGCTCATTTCCTGAATCGACCACTGAATTTTTTTTTTTTTTTGTTCGGAACAAAAAAAAAGTTTTCTCCATTTTCTCAAAGTTTTTTTTTCTCTCTTATTCGTACTCAATTTACTTATAGAAATATATATCGTATTTGAAATGTACGAATGGGAGAGAGAAAAAAAAACAATTGAAAGATTTAAACACTAAGAACAATGATGGTGATGATGATGATGATGAGAAAATGAAAGTTTCATCGTCGTCGTAGAGTTTTCGTTTCGAAATTAAACTCTGGATTTCATGTGATGGCGATTCAATGGTTGAAAATTTTCTCTTTTTTTTCTTTCTATTCGTTACTGTTTTTTTTCTGGTGGGATAAAGCAAATTCTTGTTGTTATACTTGTGAAAAATTGTTATTCACTCTACTGTCAAGAGATTTTTGTTCATCGTTTGTTGTTGTTGTTGTTGTTAACAAACTGATAATATGAAAAAGCCAAGAATCTACAGAAATTGCTAAAATTCTCTGTGAATTAAGCAATCGGTTCACAAATGTTTTTCATTTATTTTTGTTTTGTTCATCCATTCACTATAGAGAAATTGAAATACAATAGAAATTCTATTGAATGAACAAACAAATGGATAGAAAAGTTCATTCTGAACCGGTTCGTAATTTTTTTTTGTTTTTATTTGTTACCGAGAGAAAAAAAATTATTGCAACAACCCAATGACATACACACACAATAATAATGATTTTAATGTGTGTGTGTGTCGGCAACCGTTTAACGTAACGATTTTTTTCTTTTTTTTTTTGTTTCGGTTCCATTCTCATTGGTCACCAGAATTGAAATATTTTTTTTCAACATAGTACAATGTGAATTATATATAATGGTGATAAATACCCTAGCAACCAGAATAAAGAAATATCTTTAGTGTTTATGTGTGTGTATTTATTATTCTCGTTCATTTCTCACTGGTTATTGTTCTCATTATTTCGATTCTGATTCTTGATTCTTGATGATGATGATGATGAGATATCATTGATTCATTAGCAACAATAGCAGCAAATAGATTTAAACATGATTATTATGGCAAAGTATAAATAATAATCCAAAATCATAGTACCAGACAATATTTTTTTTTTGTTCTTTTGTTTTTTATTTTCTCTATTGTTGTTGTTGTTGTTGTTGTTGTTGATAGCCCGATAAATAGAAAATCTGGTCAAATTCGATGCTAATAGTGAATGTGATTAGCTTTAAAACTGGCAAGCATTGAATAAAAAAAAATTCGACACAAATTCACACATATAGTTTCATAATAATTTGATTTGTTGTTCACACAGCGGTTACACATTTGTTCCCTACCGCCCAAAAAAAAAAATTCCATTATTTCAAACCCCTCTAAAGATTGAAATGAATTCCATTTGAACAATGTGTGTGTGTGTGTGTGTATTCAATAGCTCAATATTATTTTTTCCAATCAATTCCATTCACGGAAATCAATCTCATTTTCCTGGTTTTTTTCATCTCGGGAATTATTATTTTTTTTTTATTTGCCTCGGTTCATAGATACTGTTTTTATTCAAACATATAGTGAACGCAATGGTTTTTGTTCCATGGTCATTTGATATTTTTTTTTTTTTTGGAACACTCAATCCCAGATGCAAAAGAATCGGGCAATGATGATGAAGAAAAAAAAATTTGCTGAAATAAAAGTTTCAATGAATTCTAATAATAATAATACTTTGTGTTACTTTGACAGTGAGATTCACACTGTAGAAAAGTAGTAAACATATTATATATATATAAACAACCATGGCAAAGAAAATGAATAAATGAATGAATCACTGGAGACACATTATTCTTTCCTGTGTGTGTGTGTGTATAAACAAATTCATGATGTGTGTGTGTGTGTGTGTGTGTGTGTGTATGTTTGCAAGTGTGTTTATCGTCTGGCTTTTTTCCCGTTTGAATTATCGAATATTTGCAAATGTATATATTTTATTTAAACTTTTAAAACCTTGTTGTATATTGCGATTTACGGTGTTTTGGAATAGAAAATGAAACACAAGGTGTATACATAATATGAACCAAATGTAAAATCACATCAACGAGAGAGAGAGATAACAACAACGACAACGACAGTATCAGAGTGGTTGGTTAGTGGATTCAATTCTGTTGATGATGATTTCGTTGATTTTGGTTGTCGAATAATTTCTATACAACATCGACATTTTGATTAATTACCATCATCAAACATTAGTAGTAGTATTAGTATATTGCTCAATTTTTTTTCATTATAATATCCCGAAATTACATTTCATTCGGTTAATGTTATGTATGTGTTGTTTGCACACACACACACACACACACCATATTCATGTGTATTCTTGAATGTCACGTGCTTTATTTTCATATAGTCCGAAAATAAATATACTATTCTTTTCTCTCGGTTATTTTTACACAAGAGAGAGAGAGAGAGAAACAAAACAAAATAACCGACCCATCGAATATTGATCATTTGGCTGGCCAGCCAGCTAGTCCGGTTCAACAAAAAAAAAAAAAAAAAAATGCTATCGATCCAATATATATGAGTTGAATAATAATAATATATTAAGTGTGACATGACTCAGCACGTGCTTATTATCACAGAAAGATTTTTCTTCATTTCTTTTAGATTGTACCAGAGAGAACACTGTCTGGATGACTGGATTTCATTTCATCGCTGTAATCACACACACACACACACACACACATACGATTGTTTGCATTTGGGCAATAAATGTTGTATATAATATTTGACATTGAATGTGGAAAATTTAAAAAAATTAACACACGCACGCACAGAATTTTTTTCATTAAAAAAAATTCTGTGATTATTGCTCCTTTTTTTTATTTCATTTCGTTTTTATTTGCCAAAAATATTTAAAAATGCATGTGTTTGTGTGTGTGTGTGCGTTAGATTTTCACATTAAAATAAATAGCCAACGAATGAGTCATTCGCTTTGATTTGATTCTCTTTTTTATCGATCGATTCAATTTCCTACATTCATTGAAACTAATTGTCTGTCTATTTTTTTTTTTTCAAACACACACACACAGAAATTAGAATGGTCAAGTAATGAAGATGATATTGGTATGTGTAAATATAAAGGAAAATCCGAAGATGCATGCCAAAATTATATAAAAGTATTGGCCAAATTATCCGATGATCGTATATTGGTGTGTGGAACGAATGCTTTTAAACCAAAGTGCCGTAGCTATCAATATGGTCCGGTATGTGTTATTTATGATTTTTTTTTCTCTCTTTTTTGGCTGTCCAGATTTTTTTTTTCATTTTGTTAATACTTGTAAAACGAATTTTGATGGAATTTTTTTTTTTTTTTTTGTTATAATCTTCAAAATCTGTACAGATGCACAATTTTTTGAAACTAAGTGAAAAACCTGGCGAAGCCATCTGTCCATATGATCCATCATATTCAAGCACTTATACATTTTATGGTAAGTTTTTGTTTTCGTGGTAAAAATTTTCGTCGTAGAATTTTTTTTTCTCAGCAAACGATTCATCATCATGTTTTTTCATCACTTTTTTTCACTATTTCTTTCTCACTTTGAATTTTCTATTTCATCTTTTTTTTCATGAAATTTTTCCACATTCTCTCTCTCTATATATATAAACTCACCATAATTTCATCAACCATGTATAGGATCTTTCCATGAACGTTCAGGTAACTGACAAACAAAAACCGTTAACAACATGATATTCTTTGATTCTAGAAGTAGTAAATTTTTTTCGTTTTGTTTTTCATTTTTATCTTTGAGATTCTTTTTTTTTGTTCATTTTTCTCATTGATGATCATCAAGACTAATTTTAAAATTTAATTTTTTTTTTCATTTTTCCATTCAATCCTAATTGAACAACAGAGAATAATTTATATGTTGCAACTGTAGGCGGTTTTACCGGTGCCGATCCATTGATCTATCGTGAACCATTACGTACTGATCAATTTAATCCAAAACATTTGAACGGTAATTATCTGTTGTTGTAATTCTGAATTGTCACTACTTTATTATTTTTGGGTCCTGGAATCATAATGATCATTCGAATTCGAATGATGATCCAAATAATAATGATGTTGATAATGATTATGATTTCAACTTTTTGTTTTCTACTTTATCATCATTTTCTTTTTCTTTTTTTTTTTAGCACCAAATTTTGTTAGCTCATTTCCTTACAATGGCCATGTTTACTTTCTATTCCGTGAGACTGCAGTGGAATATATCAACTGTGGTAAAGCAATCTATTCAAGAGTGGCCCGTGTCTGTGCCCGAGATAATGGTGGTCCACATAAATTTCGGTAAATATCATTATTATTATTATTATTATCATCATTTCTAATAATAATCATCATTATCATTTATTTCTGTCCAATGTTTACCCGATACAATCATCATCATCAATGTTCGATATCAGAGCTCGATGGACAACATTTCTAAAAGCTCGCCTTAATTGTTCAATTCCTGGTGATTTTCCATTCTATTTTAACGAGATCCGTAAGTTAAAACAAATTCTTTTGGTTTCGTTTTTTTTTTCGTTTGTTTGATTTGGTTTGATTGGGTGTTTTTTTTTTTTTTTTTTCCATTTCTAAATGAAAAATAACCACAATTTTTTGTTGCCGTCCATTAATATTTATTTTTTTTCTCGTTTTTTTCTTTACAGAGGCTAGCTCGGAAATTGTCAAAGGTTTATATGGTGGACAAAATGAACAATTGATATATAGCGTTTTTACAACACCAGCCAATTCAATAGGCGGTTCGGCTATCTGTGCATTCCGCATGGCCGATATTGAAACCGTTTTTCGTGGTCCATTCAAAGTACAAAAAGATATCGATTCGAATTGGTTACCCGAATCGCCACAGCTTTCACCACGTCCGGGTGAATGTTCAAATAATTCACAAAGTTTGCCCGAAAATACATTAAAATTTATTAAAGAACATTCACTTATGGATCATACTGTGCAATCATTTTGGAATGCACCGATTCTTGTCCGTACATCATTTCAATCACGATTTACATCAATTGCTGTCGATCCTCAGATTGAAACAGCTTCAGGCAAAACTTATGATGTTTTGTTCATTGGAACCAGTAATGGAACCGTCCTCAAAGCTATCAATGCAGCTAGTCCTTTGGCCGGACATTCAAATGATCATGGTAGTTCGGTCGTACCAGTTGTGATTGAAGAGATAACTGTTTTTCCACGTGGAACTCCTGTCACACAATTATTAGTACATCCATCTTATTATAATGCCAAATTGGTTGCATTTTCGTCTCATGAAATTAAAACCATACGATTATATCGATGTCAAGCAAAAACCTGTGGTGAATGTGTACGGCTTCAGGATCCTTATTGTTCATTCGATTTACAACAACAAAAATGTACTAGTTCACGTTCACGTTATTGGAATCGTGAAAATTTCGTACAAAATATCGAAATGGGCTGGGATCCTAGATGTCCCGATGGACGGCCTGGTATGCCATCTGGAACATCCGATGAGAATAATATGGATGACAATCGTATGGACACAAGTGATGAACAGGAATCTGATATGACAACAGGTCCAAGTGCGGTTCCTATTTATTCAAGTGAAACATTTGCATTGGCTGTAGTTACATCAGTGGTTACATCATTGGTTTTTGGTTTCATTATTGGCTACATATTCAGTCGAAGATGTAGGAAAGATGATCCGGGAATATGTTCACCATATGACGATCCACATAGTTATCTTGATCCACATAATTTTGCTGGTGCATTGACAGCTGGCCATCATGGTACAACTGGTTTGACAAGACTCACAGCCGGCCATGGCCATGGTCCTGCTGGTATGGCACCATTATATGGAACACATGGCACTTTAGGCCATCATTATTCCACTGCTGGCCATCCTATTGGACATCCGGCTGATATGGGAACATTAGTTAATTCAAAACCAATCAATCTTGTATTGAACGTACCTAAAGGTGGTTCAAAAAACGCAAATTCGTCGGCGGACAACAAACCTATGCAGAAGGTGAAGAAGATTTATTTGTAAATCTCAATACTAATAACAACAACAACAATGACAACATCAATCATACAATTTTAGTAGTTAACGAACGTAACGTCAATAGTCCATTATTAACGGCGGCAACAGCAGCAACAGTAAATAATCTTCGTAATGGCCGTGGTAATTCACCACCTGCAACACCACGTTATGGTCCTTTGCCAACAATCTTAAATCATCGTCGTGCATTATTGAATAATATCCAAGGCAATAGTGATAACAATGTACCTATTATCAATAGTGCACCGATGCATCGTCGATTACTACCTGGAGCCTTATTGGCTAATCGACAAAACGGTACTGCAGCTGCTGGTGGTGGTGGTGAAAATGTAACGATAATACCACCTCCTGCATATTCTGATCTTGATGAGTTCGATATGAATAGCAGTCAAAATGGTGAATGTTCATCGGTGGCAACCGAACCACGATGTCAACCTATGCCATTTACATTCAACAATAATATAAATAATAATCGTCATCATACAAATCGTCATCAACGCCGTCCGTTGCCTAATCCACATTTATCGAATGATAATAATGATAATAGCAATCATTTTTTCTTCATGATCGTCGCGATATTAGTGGTAATAACAAAAATCGTAAAATATCAACAAGAAAACAACAATCATTAGATGAAATGGACAATAGTAATAATAATGATCAACAACATCAGCAAACAAAACATCATCAACAAAAACAACGAACATCATCAATGTCATATTCGACTGGTGATAGTGAAGCGACAACAATAACAGCCGATGATTATGGTTGTAATCATACTGCAACATCCGCTGCTGCTGCTGCTGCTGCTGCTGCTCATCAGGAAGAATCAGATGAAAATGATGATGATATTGTAGAAGGTGATTACGAAGATATAAGTCAATTGTAATGACCATCATCAACAACATTCATCTATGTTCGTTCGTCATTTTCATTTTCAATCTAACCAATCATTATGAATTTGCAATTCAATTCATCTTCTGATTGTTTTGTTACGTTTCGTTATATATTTTTTCGTTTTTGTTGTTGTTGTTGTTGTTGTTGTCAAACAATGAACGAAAAAACAAAACTCAAAAAATAAAAAAAAAATTAAATTGAGGAAGTGTGCATGATGCTGCTGCATTAGATCGTGTTGTCACGCCGACGTTAAACCATCCAAATCAACCTTACACACACACACACACACACAGCAGGTACGATTCTTTAAATGAATTAAATCGATTCTCTTGCTTTTTTTTTCTTTCTACTGAACATCTTTAATTATTTTCATCATCATGATCTTGTCATATTGACTATTTTACCATCAAATGAATAGAATAACATTATCATCATCGAATCAATCATCATTTCTTTATATATTCATTAATATTGTTCATGCTGATGATGATCATGATGATGATGATCATGATCATAATGATAACGCCGACACCTGAAATCATTGAATTCATCATTCATTCATTATGTTCATTATTTCGAAAAAAAAAATTTTGTTTTTTATTTTACTTTTCATTCTTTTTTTTTTGTTCTCTCTCTGTTCATACCTGTGAGCTTTGTTTGTTTCCTTATGTTTTTTTTTTTTTTTATTTTTTTCTTTCTTCGATCTATTGTTATATATTCAATATTTAGTGATTGTCAGAACTGTGTGTGTGTGTGTATGTATTGTTTGTTGGCTTTAAAGTTCATAGTCATTGTCACATACACACACACACACACATACATAGATATTGACATGATTATCAAAAGATGTTCCGTTGTAAATAATAATAAAAATCCAGTCATTCATTCATTCATCAATTTTTGATCATTAAAAAAAACAACATCTTTTGAATTCATTCATTATATGTATGTCATTCGATTCGACGACCTTTCTTTGAATGGTCGCAATGGATTTTTTTTCCTTATTTCTTTTGTATATTTCGAATGTGTGTGTGTGTGATTATTTTTTCTTTTCTTCATCATCATCATCATCATCATCATTTGAATGTCATATATATATCGATGTAACATTTTTACAATCGACAAAATTATACCAAATATATTCAATCATCATTTTGTATATATATATAATCATTATTACGTCATTTTTGAACACCATAAATCGGATATAACAGACATATAAAATCTCTTCGAATCTCTTGTCATATTTTTTTTTCTTTCGTTTTTTTTGTATTATAAAAAATGATGATAAATGATATTTATAGTCAAAATACATTAAATCAGTATACAATGACAATAACAAAAAAACAAGAATACAATGATGATAATAAAAAAATTTTCAATTTTAATACAAAAATATATTTGTAAAGGTCCACAGGTTGACCATTTTATTGTGTGTGTGTGATGATCGTCGAAAATCGTTATCGTTAAATCGGATGCCTAAATCGACATTCATTGGCCAACAATGGACAGCCACGTGGATGATTTCGATAAAACCAACAATCTTTTTTTGTTGGTTTCATTTGTTCACCATTTGGATCATTATCTTTATTTTGGTTCCAAATACGTAGATAATCAATCGATTGAAATCGAATTCGTCCATCACGAATAGTAAATATAAATTTATGATTACGAATAAATGTTTGTAGGCCACCGCATTGATTTTTCAAATGTTTACGTATCCGATCTTTATCTCTATCATCATCATCATCATCATCATTATGATTGTTGCAATCGAGCAAAGCAATCGCCTCCTGAAAACTCAACGACGATCCATCATAAGGGTCGTTGTCGTTGTCCGTTTGAGATATCAAAGCGTTAGACAATCTACTAATGATTTCTTGTTTGATATTCTGATCGATATGAGTACAATTACGTACGGGTTCTTTGGTCTCACGTAAACGTTTTCGTTGATGATAGTCATTCTGTTTCTGTAATGATTGTCTAACTATTTGACGACGTTTTTGTTGCCATTCTGATTCGATCGATTCATCGTTTTGTTTGCCAATGTTTTTTTGTTCACCACTACTATCATTAATAATGTTGTTGTCCGAAACCAATGACATCAAATATGTTCGGCCAGTACAGATTAAACAAATACGTTTTGTAGACGGTATACGTAGCTTATCACGTTGACATTGAGCAAATCCAAATTGATAACAAAGACTTTCAAGAAAATCAATATAACATTGGTATTGACTTTTTGTTGATGGTTCTGTTGTACGTTGAAATCTGAAACCATCCAAATTATAACAACAACAAGGCAATAGAAATACTCTTGTTTGTGTATTTTGCATGGAAGCCATATATAGAATCCATGGTGTCAATTCATCCGAATGATTACCGATCATCCAATCACAATGTGGCAGGCCAAAATCATCCGTAGTTTCATATTCAAAAAGGTCAATCTTCATTTCGATTAATCGAACTTTTTTTCTCTCTTTATCATCATCATCATCATTGTTGTATAGATACCAAATATTACGTCGTCGTAAATCGACACCATATCCGTCATATCCTTCCTGAGTAAGTATATAGACTAAAAGTCCATTACCGCAGCCGATATCGGCAAATGTTTGTTTCCGTTGTTGAAACTTGGTATCAAACTTTTCCATTTCTTCTTGCCACAATGTAATCAAATAAGCTGCAATGGCAATATCTTCATAAATGAATTTGATCGGATCGGTATTTTCAATGGTAGTCCATATACGCATCAATGGTTGAACATATTTTTGCTTAAGGCGATTATAATTTTCGCAATAGTTTTCTACAGAAATATTTCTAATTGATCCTTCCAAGTTTTTATTATCACGATTGTTGTATTTGTCATTATTTTTACTTTTTTCTTGTTCTTTCCGTTTGACTTTATGTTTGCTGTTGTTTTTGTTTGTTATTTCAACATTCTGACGTTGCTGTCGAATCCATCGTTCGAATTTATTCGTGAAAACATTTTCAACCATAATTGTGATTCTTTTCCATTTTCTTCATTTGGTACCAATGATGGAAAAGAAAGTTCAAGATGAAAGTTTTGCTTATCACAGTTTTGTGCTTTATCGACATCATCAATCAATTTCAATGCAAAAGCAATGTCATCGTTACCATTTCGAATATTAATTTGAACATGACTAGAATTTTCATCTTGTCTAATATTAACATTGAATCCGGGTTCAACATCTAATGGTACGATGATGAATTTATTTAATAATGGCCATAGACATACAAAATCATATTCGATATTATTAGATTGATCAGATGATGTTGAACACTTGAGCAATGATTTCAGTGATTGTTTACGGAATAATTTTCGTAGTATTAATATTGGTCGTTGATGTTGCAATTCATTTGTTGGATCACAAAAATTCAAAAGATTTTTATTATTCTTATCACAAATAATAAAAATAGAATCAAGGTGTTTAATACTCGTTTTGAAATTCGGTGTTGACAGAAATTGTTCAATATCATAGTTTTCATTTGGAAATTGCCAAAATCGTTCCAATTTAGCACCAATTAACCGTTTGTTTAGTAGATTAGGACGATTAATGTAAAGCAAAGCTGCATGCCAAAATGAATTATCCGGAGCCATATTATTTGATTGGAACACTTGAAAAACAGAATGGATCTAGCATGGATCACTATGTGACAGCTGATTATATTTGATCATTCTTCAACAATGGCTGACATCTGATGGATAATTTAGGATTCATTATTCTTGGTCACGTGATGGAACAATCTATTTGAATGGTCAATCACGATCTAAAATATCAAGTCAGATGAGCGGTTTCTGTTTGGTCATATTATAATCAGTGAATTTTTTTATTTTATTCATGAATCAAATTATATGATTATAAAAGTTAAATCTTGTGATTGTTTCTAAGAATTTCTTTGAATTATTTTATTTTTCATCCGGAAAAAAATGTTGACACTTTGATATAAAACTAACCGAGACGTTTATTGTATCAGTTTTTTTTTGACTGGATCATATTAATAAGCTGCAAAGAGAGCATCGACAATCAAAATGATGAAATCATTTTCGTTAAATCCAAAGAAAAAGAAAGATATTGAAAAACAGAAAAAATTGGCCGAAGAAGAAGCTTGTGCTGAAGTATATGAAGAATTTGTAGCCACTTTTGAAACGCCAAAATCACAATCCAAATTATTCGTACGCGGTACTGTAATCAATCCGAATTCTGGCCAAGAATTGAGTGCTCAAAATTCTGGCAAATTTTATAAGCCAGAAAAACTTGAAGAATTTGAACGAAAAAAATCACAACCACATGAATCTAAGAATAAACATGACAGCGATAAAAAATCTCATCATCATTCATCAACCTCATCATCGCATACAAGTATCCATGATAAACCGAAAAAAGGTAATGGTAAGAAAAAAAGTAATTTAGAGATATTCAAAGAAGAATTAAAGATGCTACAAGAAGAACGTGAAGAGCGATTCCGACAACGAAACAATGGAAAAGAAAGTTCAAAAACATCGAATCAAAGTTATAAATCACATGATGATGATTTGGATACATCCAATTGTGGTAATAGTAGTTCGACGAAAAAAACTGGATCACATGATACTGGTGATCCAAACACGACAAACATTTATCTGGGAAATTTAAATCCGAAAATGACCGAAACACAATTATGTGATATATTTGGTCGTTATGGCCCGTTAGCTTCGGTTAAAATAATGTGGCCACGCATTGAAGAAGAACGTATCAGAAATCGAAATTGTGGATTTGTTGCTTTCATGTGCCGTAAAGATGGTGAACGTGCATTGAAAGCATTGAATGGTAAAACATTTATGGATTATGAAATGCGATTAGGCTGGGGTAAAGCTGTACCGATTCCGCCCACACCAATTTACATACCAACGGCATTACATGATTTGATCATGCCACCACCATTATCGGGACTTCCATTCAATGCTCAGATTCAAGATGAAAAAGATAAAGAATTGCTAAAAAGTTACGCAAATGATCCACAAAAATTGTTCCATGAAAATCCTGAAGCATTTTATGATTTACTATCTCGAACTGTAGTTAAAGTAACAATTCCACAAGATCGAAATCTTCTTTGTCTAATACATCGAGTGGTAGAATTTGTCGTACGAGAAGGACCACCATTCGAAGCATTATTAATGAATCGAGAACTTACAAATCCACAATATTCATTTCTATTTGAGAATCAATCGGCAGCTCATATATATTATCGATGGAGACTTTATTCTGTTCTACAGGGTGAACATCCAAGTCGATGGCGAACAGAAGAATTTCGAATGTTTGATGGTGGATCGTTTTGGCGGCCACCACCGATTAATCTTTTTCAACAAGGAATGCCCGAAGAATTATTACCTAATGAAGATGAACTGGACAATAATTTCGATGATCGTCGATCGAATTCCAGTTCTGATTCTAGTGATAGTTATCATCGTCATCGCCATAGAGACCGTGAAAACGGCTCATCAAAAAAATCATCAAAGTATAAGAAACGCCGTCATAAAGAATCATCATCCAAATCCACATCATCATCGAAAAGTCATCAATTAAGCAGCAAAGAACGAGAAAAATTTGAAGATATGCTTCGAGCATTAAGTCCACAGCGTTCTAAAATTGGTGATATGATGGTTTTCTGTATTGAACATGCCGATTCATGGGAAGAAATTGTCGAATGTATAACAGATTCATTGTGTATTTCGGAAACGCCATTGTATAAGAAAATTGCCAGGCTATTCTTGATGTCGGATATTCTGCACAATTGTTCTGTCAAAGTATCGAATGTTTCGAATTATCGAAGAGGATTCCAATCAAAATTGCAAAACATTTTTCAATCTTTTCATCAAGCATACAATCAGATTGAAGCTCGTCTAAAAGCTGAACAATTCAAGGTATTGATCATTTAAATTTTTATTGAATAATTTACTAATTTTTTTCTTCTAATTATTCTGTTTATAGCAACGTGTAATGAATTGTTTTCGTGCCTGGGAAGACAGTGCTATTTATTCATCCGATTTTCTCATTAAATTACAAAACATTTTTCTTGGACTGGCAAAGCCATCATCATCCTCTGCAGCTGTATCGAATCCAACAATGTTAAAAAACAAAGAACTAGCGAGCAAATCTTCATTTTTAATGCTCAACAAAGCAACAAATGCCGATGATATTGATGGTGAACCTATCATTGATGCCGATCTGGATGGAATCGAAATGACATCAACTAATGTTGCTGATAATCAAAAATCAATGGAAGATCCATTTAAGAATAAATTTAAAGCTTCAAAATGGGAAACGGTCGATCCCGATGATCAGGAACTGCCACCATCAATATCTCAAACAAAGATTAGTTCAAAATGGAATAAAAATCTTCAAGATATTTACGCGGCAGATGAATTGATTGATGATGATAATGATGTTGGAAATGCTGATCAAGATATGGATGATATCGATGATGATATTGATGGTAAACCTTTAGAAGATGATGATTTCATGGAAAAGCTTGTTAAAAATGACAAAAATAAAAATACGACAACAAATTCCGAAACTTCAATGCTACCACGAGAAGTGCTAAGAGATATCGAACTAAAAGTGGTTAAATTCCAGGATGAGCTTGAAACGAATGTCCGTTCCGGGAAAAAGTTGTTAGACCTATACGAAACTACAAGTCAATTGGTGGAAAAATATCGCAGTGATTTGATGAAAAAAGCATTGGAAGCAAATCAACCTTTATCATCATCATCATCATCATTGGATCGTGCAAGACAAAAATCAAGATCGAGATCTCGATCACCTACCACAAAATCGTCATCATCATTGAGATATTATTCATCTTCATCATCATCAATAGCAACAACCACGTCATCCACATCATCAAAACGTCGTAGATAATTGAAAAGCATCCTGAAATTTTTTCCTTTACTAAAATTTTTATTTATCTAACCCTTTTTATTACATATATTTCATGATGATTGACACAATATCAATATTTATGTACATTTTTTCAACAACAAAAAAAAATTGATTCAATAAAAAATAAATCAATCACCATTATATGAAATGTATAGTGAAAATAAATAAATTTGATTTGATCATATTTAAAAAAAAGGATTGAGACAAAAGATTGGTACCAAAATCAAAATGATAATAAATCAACAATGATGATTATTATTCCACACCGATCACATGACTTAGTTGAGCAAAATAATCATTTTTTAAAGGCAATAATAATTTTCGTTCAGGTTCAATTGGATCACAGTTAGGATTCGAATGATGAATAGTATTGGTTGAATTGTTGTTTATGAACAAATCTATCGACTGGGAACAACGACACAAAACCGTCTCAAAATTTTGTCGCAGACCAGCACACATAATAATTCTTTGATTGTCGGAAAGACATGTTGGGATATCGTACACGGGCAATCTGGCAATCATCGTTCTGTAACATTGTCGCATGTCTAACTCGAAAATCACGACCCGCCAATCGATTTGATGATCAATCCGAAGATCTACATGCAATGCGACAATTCATTGACAATTTTGTAAAAAGAACATCATGTATGATAGTGAAAATCGCGTATATCGAATCAAGTTCCCATTTATCAACAACCATGTGATCAATCCAAACTTCAATAATGCCAAACGTTTATTAATCTCCCAAAACATTATCGCTATCAGAAATTGAATACAAAGACTACAACAACTTGATCAAAGAATTAGAAAACAACAAAATTGTAGAATCATGTGACATTCAATCTAACGAGGGCTATCACATGCCTCATTCTAAGTGGTATGCCGAAAAAGAAAGTTCTGAAAAACAACAACGAAAACGATTGGTTTTCAATGCTCAAATGGCAACAATAATTTAAATCAAGCAATATTCAAAGGAGTCACAAAGATGGTGTTTACCAAGATCATTACTTCAATTCTCTTAAAACAAGTTGCATATGCGCATATCCAGATGCGCAGAATGTCGCACATACTAGTTCATCTGGATCATCAACAAGTTATTCAATTAGAATCAAATGTACTCGACGGACCTCATCACCATTTGTCTTAAACGTTGTCATAGAAATCATCACATAGGAAAATACAAAGAGTGAATTTCCCGCAATTGTATCCAGCCATCCAATCAAATTTATACGTTGATGATTTGGTACATTCAGTAAACAATGAAATTGAAGCAATGACTTTCAATCCATCAGTTCCACAATTTTCAAAGAAGCATCAATGGAACTTGAAAGTGGCAAATGCGTTCACATCCCGGCATTGACAAATCTTGGTCAGATGGTTTAGGTGAAGATAAAGTGCTTGGAATGATTTGGGAATAAAGAAGACACCGATCGAATATGATTTAATAATTTTCTGCGATTCAAGTAACAAAGCTCTCGGCGTGGCTGCATATTTGAGCAATAACGGCGTTGAAGGAAATACATCTTTGGAAAATCAAAAATGCTGAAGCCACGAGAAATAGTCACTGGTGATCACAATCAACAAACCCATAATAGTGTCTGATTCCAAAGCAAATGTTGATCGAATATCTACTGATATAAACAAATTTCCACAATGTGTTGCTATCCATCTATATAACATACGAGCCAAAATTGACACCATTCACTGGATAGCAGGAGTTAAAAATCCAAGCGACACCCTTACTCGTGGAATATCATCGGAACAACTTAGCGACATGCATAATCTCGATCGACAAATACTTAAAGAAATTTATGACAAATCTCATCAATTTTTCATCTCTCACCATTAAAATTGAGATGATGATGAGAAACTTCCAAAAACATTTCGAAGCTCATTATTCAATGGAAATATATGGCCTTCGGTGCTGAACAAATAATATTCATTCGAATGTTTATTCAATGGATTCTCTTTGTCGAATAACTAACAAAAAAAAATCAAACACAGAATATTAAATAATGATAGGATATTTCATGAATTAATTATTATAATTACCAAATAGAGATATTTGCAAGTTTCACTCAGAAAAAAACTTTCCATTCGATCTTCTAAGCTTTTTTCCTGTACATCATGTACGGTAGCATAGCCACAATTTGATCGAGTATATTTATTGATCGATTCAAGTATTGTTCTGCCTACATGAAGATAAAATGGATTTTTCGTAGCCTGATATAGCTGATATGTTGATTCGGCTAATTCTGGTCGTAATGGATAGAATGATAATTCCGGTTCAGATTGATGCCAATTATAACGTTCAGGTAATAAACCAAATTTACGCCATATATTGAAAAATACCATATGTGTACAGATTGATTCTTCAACATCACCGGCCAATAATTGAACGGCTGGCCATGCTGCAGCTAATGCATCGATCCAAGTGGTCATCGTACGACCATTATGCATATTTACATTGACATACATAGGATGTTGTCCAATACCCGAATTACAATATTGCCTACCACGTCTATTATAAATTTTAATTTTATCATAGCTTTCTTTGAACATTTCCCAATACGTTTGTTCACCAAAATAAATCCAAGATTTTAAAAGATATTCATAGAATGAATCAATACCAGCACCGATTCCAGAAATTTCACCTAGCCATTCGGCTGATTCAACATCAATAGAATTGCCCAATAAACCCGTTTTTGCACGAAGTCCCCAAAGTGTATTAATTGCACGTTTGGCAGCTATTTCGAATCGGAAATCACCAGTCAATCTGCTTAAAATACCAAATTCAAGTAATAATGATCCAGCACCAGCAGGACAAGTTTCCGATTTACACCAATGACATAATGTTGAATTTGGTACACCTTCTCGTAAATGAACTCGTGGATATGGAAGACCGGTAGATGATGTTTCCAAGGCAGGTAATAAACGTTCAGCCAGATCTTTGGCCAATGAAACAAGCTCATTATTGTACCATGGAGGTCGAATATCAGGCCCAAACAATAGTCTATTATCGGTGATTAATAAATGGGCAGATAAAAGGCCACCAAGTACGCGTATGGTCGCTTCGAAAACTTGAACAATAGCATCGTTATCGAAATTGACCGTATCGATCACAAGTTTGACAGCTCTATGAAATTCACTATAATTTCTCATGACGACCAATGTGTCCAACGTGTCAATCAATGTCAGTGAATAATTCCCGAGAACATCGTTTATATTAATGTTTGATCTGTTTGATCGAAATAAAAATAAAATTATTATTTTTCAAACTAATAAAAAATTAAATATCTTACGGATCATCAAAATCGGGTCCACGGCCACGACAATAAACTGGATTCAGTTCATCAGCAGGAAAAGCATGTTTCATGTAATTATCATAGGCAAATATAAAAGTTTCCTTTGCCAATTTCAACATTTCAATACGTTCATTTTCGGTGAATGTTCCGAACATTTTGTCATAATGGCCAGGTTTTGTTCGAAATAGAGCTTCTGCCACCGAATTTGACGGCGATTGGATGGCATTTGATGGTCGATTGGAGAGAAATAAAAAGAAAACAATAAAAATAAAATAGGCCAATGTGGCCTGACCGATGGGATTGTTTTTCGTTATGATTATATTCCACTTTCTGGTCTTTGATATGGATAATTTTGTAACAAAATACATTATATATGATGATGAGATAACTTTAAAAAACAACAGTTACTCATCCAGATCCAATCGGCCTGTAAATTGATTCTGTTTTGATGTAATTTTTGTTGAATTAATAAAAATAAAAATGATGATGATGATGTTGATGACGATGATAATTGAAATACAGAAACGTTGAAAAATGTGTACATCATTATTAATATCGAATGATGTCAATCATATTAGATATATCCAAGCACAACAACAAAAATGACTATGACAAACAAATGAATGCACAAAAAAAAATCTAAATCTAATTATCTCCAATATAATATAAAAAAAAATAAAATCTGTTAACGATCCACTATAATGGATTCAAAGCCACGTAATCAGCTGCGGGAAAAAAAACACATTTACATCATTTGTGGATTTTTTTTTCTCCTTGTTTATTCCAATTTCACACACCAGATTCCGCGCCAATTTTTCAATGTTTTTTTTCAAGTTTTTTTTTTTTATGATTGATTCAGGAAATTTTCTTGAAAACAAAAATGATGGTGTAGTTTTTTACTTTCTGCAAATTGGCAATTTTCTTAACTTTGTGTTGTGGGATTTTTTTTCTAAACAAACCAAAATGGAATTTGATACAATAAGATATTATGAAAATATCCAAATAATGGTTTTTTAAACTTTTGCGCATCCAAAAAAAATGATTCTGATTTATATATAGAATTGATGGAATTCTTTGCGTCTACCTCTTTTTTGTTTTCTTTTTGATCACCAGAAATCGTTATGTTTATATCTATGATAGTATAAAATTAATGAAGCCAATTCGACAATCTAACCAGACTATCATTGACTGTCGTCGTAGTCGCCACTATTTGAAAATTTCACAAATCTTATGAAAATGATTTGAAAAGCAAAAAAAAAAAAAAAATTTTTTAAACCTCGTTATCCACATTAAATTTTGTTTTTGTTCTGTTCAAACTATTTTGTCGTTTATTATCAACAAATCTCAATCAATCAATCATCATGTTGAATTTAATGTTTTTAAAACGTTTCTGGACTTTTAACGAGAATCCATCAACAACAACAACGACAACAAAAATTAATCGCAATAAAGATATAACGACCGTAGCTGTACGTGAATTGGACTGTGATAATTATAAAAATCGTCATAATGATGATCATGATGATGGACATTGTGATCGTAATAATAACAACAACAACAACAACAACAACAATGACAAAATCTCATCAAATAAATCTGGATTAAAATTATCATCATTTATAAATTCTTCGAATAAATTCCATTTGTTCATATGTTTGTTATTTATACCACTATATATAGCTGTATTGATGGAATTTTTATTCATATGGCAACAACAAATTACATTGAATGAACATGAACAACATTTAATAGCATTGACCACACGATTATTATCTCGTCAACGATTCAATAATGATAATGGTGGTGATGGTGGTAAAAAACCAATAATTCGACCGCAATCTTTATCATCATCATCATCATCATCAGCAACGACATCAAAACGCCGGAAACGAGAATTGCAAAAAATTTTCCGTTGGATTGATGATAATACTATTAATGAATCGTTTGAAAAAATTAAAAACGAATCCGAATCCTTCAAACAACATAAGCGACGACAAGTTTTTGAACCAAAACAACATCAAAATCATCATCATCATTATCATCAGCAGCAGCAGCAACAACAACAACAACAACAACAATCGAAAGATAATGGACAACCAGCTGTCGATTTTTTTCAGCAACCACAACCAACAGATCAGCCAACAATACCAGGATTCACATGGTTAACATCATATTCACGAATTCCGGTAAGTGATTCTTAATTTTCTATATACATGACATAACAAATTTTCAATTCGAAAATCGATATAATCGATATTATAATCAATGTATGAATCTACCCACACAAACACTAAAAACATGTAAAGAAACGGTAAAAGATTTGATTCGAATCTTTTGAGAGATTCGCCAACTTGAATTTGCAAAAGGCGAAAAAAAACTGCAAACTTTTTTCCACGGTATTTATTCCACGAAATGACAATAACATTACTTTAAAATGAAGCACAAATAAAGAAAAGAATCACTCACATTATTTCCGCTTGAATCTAATAATAGTATGAAGTTTACTTCCTTCTTGAGAATTTCTTCAGTTTTTTTTTCGTTTTCATTTATTCGCATCCTTGATTTTAATTTATCTCATACTTTAAAGGTTCATCTGATATGATCAAAATCGTTGAGTCAATTCTCTTTCCATATATATATAACAACGATAAACGAAAAAAAAAATGAAAAAAATGAACAAAATTCCTGAAACAACAAACCATGCGACTGAAGAAGAAAGAAAGAAAAAAAAAAATAAAATGATGATGTTGAGTATAGGGATCCGAAATAAATCCAAGTCTTCCTATTGCACCATTCACTCGCAGATGTTTTCTTTTTTTTTTTTATTCGTTTCGCTCTGGATCCAAATAAACTTTCCGACTATGAAATAGAAGAAAAAATAATGAAAAAAAAAAAAATAAATTACCTTAATAACCATCGAATGTATGTGTAGTGAACATCTGGATATATCAGACAAGAATATCTATACCATTGAATTCTTTCGAAGTTTTTCTCATCATAATCATCATCAACATCATCATCGTGAAGTGGATTTTGGTTACCCCGTCATAATATTCAGCCAACCGATGCAAGAATATTCAAATGATGATGAAAAAAAAGGGAAAAAAAGAAGAATCAGAAAAAAACGGGTTTCTTTACAGATTGGCCTGTTTTTGTTGTTGTTGTTGTTGTTGTTCTTGTAACCAGTAGTAGATTCATTTTAATTTCCAAAAAATTGCTCACTGTACAATTGGTAATAGACACGCACTTCCATACACTTCACATATGTTAATTCAATTCATTATCTTATGTAGCAGATTTTTTTTTGCCAAACAAGTTTTTCATCTTTTCGAGACAATTTTGGACCGTGAAAAGAAAAGTTTTCACGACCAATTCAATATGGCCAAATGTTCATTCTACAGTCATTTTGCTGATCATCATCATCATTATGATTAAAGTGAAAGTGTTCTTAAGAATGTAAATCAACAATAAAGAACTTCAAAGAAGAAGAAAATGAAAAAAATCGTTAAAATTTTCTAAAGCGAGTTTTTTTCTGGTGTCGGAAATCGATTCACACTTTGTTCAATTGAATCTAATTTTCTTCATCATATCATGTTTTGATTATTGTCATCTTTGTTTTTTTTTGTCAGTAGAATATTTCAAATTCATTCAACACCTAACCTACCTTGGACTCATTTTTATAGTTTTCATTATTTTTATCCATTATTACCGTTTTGTTTGTTTTTAATTTTCATACAATCCAATGACAACAGAACAATGATCATGATCATGATGGCCATTTACCTATAGGAACTATGAAAAAAAATGAATGCGATCGTTATACTCGGCAGGACGTCCGTGTTACGAATATTGATGTTGGATATTTTTTTTTCTCTATATCGATATTGTATGTATGTCGGTTGGTTGGTTGGTTGGTTGTCGGATTTTGGATTTTGGATTCATTCCGATACATCTCGCTATTCATTGGAATCCAAATTCTATAGATTGTATGAGCATTATTTTTTTTCGCACTTTTTTCCGATATGTTTTCCTTCATTATTCATTTTTTTGTGTGTTAACAAAATAAAAATTTTCGCGTTTTGGGTTGTCATATATTTTTTTTGTTTTCATAAATATTTGCCATGATTGAAATTTTGACATTTATATGATGATGGCAGCCATATCCATAGTGGTGGAGAAAAATCGAAGAAGTTGTCAGAATTAATTTGTACCAGAATTTATTCTTTATTCACATATTCATGCAGCTTTGTATGGATCATCTCTAGTCGATCGTTAGATTCGATTGTCCCGTTGTCAATTTCTTTTTGTTGTATGTTTTTTTGTTTGTTTGTTTGTTTGTTTATGTAATTTCCAGCCATTTACCATATAATGATAATGGTGATTGGAGATCAACCAAATTTTTCTACATAGAATTATCATTGCTACTCTGGGCCCACAATAAATGTGATGATGGTGAATAATATGCAATTCTTGTCTCTCTATCTTTTTGTTCATAGTAGGAAAAAAAATTCTGCAAATCAAATAATTTTGTATAGCTAAAAATAATATACAAACAGGATTTAGATCGATCCATAAAAGATCGATATTTTTTTTCGTATGTGTGTATGTTTTTGGATCACATACACACACACAGCACACGCATAGACAAACATTTACCCATCAATGTTGCCCTGTCGTTGCTCATCATCTTCATCATCATTGGGTGCTAATGTAATAAACACAAACACACACACACACACACACACACGCCCATACAGCATACGGATCTAAACACAAACACACACACACACGCATAAAATTTTCAAAGCATCCAAAAAAAAAAAAACTTTTGTTTCGATGAAATGTTTGAAAAGCAAGCAAAAAAAAAAAAAAAAAAGTTTAACTAAAACTATGTTAAGCTGAAAATAAAATCGAATTTTTTTTTCTTCCTTTCTCTCTTCTTCATTCAGCTCTCTTATCTATACACACATTCGCTTATCATCATCAAAGTATAATACAGTTGATCATCATCATCATCATCATCATCATCATTGTAGCAAATGAATAGAAAAATCTCATGAGAAATGAATTCTTTTTGGCTGCTTATACTGGTCGCACAGTATCACAATTCAGGATACTGATCTGAAACAAATGAAAGAGAAAAAATAAATAAAATACGATAAGGCCAAGTGATGATCATATTCTGTGTGTGTGTGTGTGTGTGTGTGTGTGTGTTGAAATAGTAGTTTTTTATATCTTTTTTTTGGATCAAATTTTTTTTTCTCTTTGTGATAATCATAAACGATGATAATATTTATTGAAACAATATCCAGAATGAAAGTTTTCTTCACTTTTTTTTCATGATAATTTTGTCTCGATAAATGATCGACTGGTGGTGAAAAGAATTTTTTTTTTTTTTTGGAATTAAAACCTCTCCTTGATGTGTCTGTTTGTGTGTAAGTAGAATTGGAATCACCACATAAACGATCGATCATTGTGGAAAAAAATTGGGTAGACATGGTTTCAATTTTTTAAATTTCATAATTTTTTCAGTAACAATCTTAAATTCTGGCATGTTTTGGAACAGTTTCCATCAAAAAAAAGTTAATTGTTGTTAAAATTAATTGATTTTTTTTTCACTCGAACTATACTTTCATGATTATCATGAAGAATTGATACCATAATCACTTCGTTTCGATAATGATTATAATGATGGTAATCATCTCGGCATGTGTGTGTGTGTGTGCGATGAACGAAAGACAAAATTATCGATAAAAAGATAGCTAAAGAATCAAAATGGATCAAAATCTTTTTCAGAATTAGCTTCTTAATATTGAAACTTTTTTTTTCATCTGGAAAGCCAAAAATAAATTAGAATTTATTCATCTAAAATAAACGATTCTTTGCTCTGTTTTTGCTTGTAATAATAATAATAAGAATCTTTTATAACACAAGACAAACAGAAAAAAAATATGATGAAGCTTATGAAATGATCGAAAACGGTTGGTCGTGTGTATTAAGTAATCATCTTGCAAAAAAAGCAACGATATGTTCCTAAGTTTCAATGAAGTGGTAAATTGCTTTTTTGTTGTTGTTGTTGTTGTTGCTATTGTTCATCATGAATTGGGTTCATTTTTCTTCATCATATTTCTGGTTGGCTAGAATCTTTTATTTTGATTTTAAGTTTTTCACTTTAAAACATTGATTTATTACTTCATCTTCAACCTAAAAACCTGAATTGGAAAAATTTCGTTCAGAATAATAATTCTAATTAAAATCAGTTTTGGTCATGTGTGTGTGTGTAATTAATATTTACGATAGAAATTGCAATCGTTTGTTTGTCCATCTCTTCTTGTCCACTCAGATGACAACAATTGGTAGAATTTTATTAAATCCGTAACAATTGAATTTAATGAATATATGTAAATTACAAATCTATGCAAACAAACAAAAAAATTGATGACAGAAACAAACTTTTCAAACAAATAAACAAACAAATTTTGCATTCCCATGCAAATTCACTTTTCATCCATTGACAATAATAAACAATGGATGAAAATTGAATTTGCATTTGTATTTACATCAATTTCATTATTTGATGTTGTTGTTGTTTTTTTTTGCAAAAAAACTTTTGAAAAAAACTCATTTATTACCACATACAAATGAAATTCTGGTTCATTATTGACAATAATAATAATAATCAGAATTTCACTATTTTTGAATTTTTTCTTTTAGAAAAAAAACTGAACATCACCATCCTTTTTGTTGTTGTTGTTTTTTTCGGTGAAAAAAAATATTTCACTAAATTATATCCACCATTCTTGCTTGCTTTGGACCTTTTTTTTTATTTTATCTCTGTTGAATTGAATCGAGAATAAATGTGAATGTAGGAAGAAAAAAAAATTCTGTAAAGATAACTAAATTGGATCGACTATCATCAATTGTGTTGACCGAAAGATAGAAGCGAAAAAAAAACTGATTCGTATATGTTTTTTTTGTTTTGTTTTGTTGTTTTGTTTCATCCACATTCATTCTGATAGATTTCCTATTGGTCTGTTGTTTGAAATTGTGTTACTGTGTGTGTGTGCCTGTACAGGCAAGATTAATGCTAGTTTCCAAATGTTTATCATCATCATCATCATGTAAATTAAGTTACATATGGAAATTTTCATTCTTTTCATAAAGTTCCACTATCTATACTTTTGATTCGTTTTTTGTTTTACGTTTTTTTTTCGTTTGTTCAAAACATATTCCAGCCAAATACACACACACACACATGCCAACAATGTCGTCTACGATTCTCATTAGTGTGATGAAAAAAAAAATAACTACGAGAATATAGAGAAATGAAGCAGAAAATTGTCGCATTCAACATTTTTTTTTCTGTCTTACAACTAGATTCTAATGAATTCTATCTGTATATATATGTATTGGAACTACTGGAACTACCAGCCTAAAAAAAATATTTGCAATGGTTGACATGAATAAATGAATGACTCATTCATTCAATGTGTGTGTGTGTGTGTGTGATTGTCGAATAATGATTTTGAAATACAGCTGGCACCTATTTTTTTCATATTGTTGAATTGTATTTTAAATCAAAGTAATCATCTTTTTTTTCATTCATTCTGAGAAATACAAGAATTCATTCAGAATATTATTTTTTTTTGTGGCTTCCGAACAAAAATTTTCCACAGTTCTTCTATCAGAATTCAAATTCAAATTTTCAAACCGACCTACCGAATGGTTAAAGAATAGGATTCGTTTTTTTTTCCTGTACCCCCAAAAAAAATGATTGGTTGTATTTGAAAATTCCCGGTTTTTTTTCCTTATATCAGGTTTATTATGTGTGTGTGCGTTTGGACCAAATTTATTTTATTTTATTCACCGAAAAAATAATGATCGACCAGCCCAACAAAAAAAAACGAGATTGAATTTGGAATAAATTTCCGCAACCAACCATAAGCATAGGATATTGAAAAAAAAAAAAATCAAAATGATCATTTGAAGAAGAAGGAGAGAAAAAAATAAATAAATAAGAATCAAAAACGAATGAAGAATAACAAGCATAGCAATAAAACCGTATAGGTCTAGAATATTTGTGTTCAACAAGATGGAAATCCAGATGAAAAAAAAAGCTAATAATAATAATAATAATAACAGGACAAACGAAAAAGAAAAGGAAGAAATCAAAACTCAAAAGCTACACTACTACTTCATTCATTTCGGTTCATTGAAAGTATAATATTAATAGTTTTTTTTCTCGCTGGCCATTTCTTATTATTATTTCCAAATTGATATTTGAAGAGATGAAAGAATGGAAATGAAAAAAAAAAAGAAGAAGAAGAAGAAATCAATTGCTTGAAATATCGAATATTTGAAAAACTTTTTTTCTTTTGCTGCCGTATACACATATTCAGTTTGTTTTGGATCATAAAAAAAAGTGTGCGACAACAAGATTGAAATGATCATCATCATCATCATCATGAAAAAATGATACTCAATGATCATGATCATCATCATCATCAAAATAGAATTTGTTGTTATGGACAAAAGTTTTATTTTTTTTTTCATCTTTGAATGACAAAAAAAAACTTTTATTTTTTTCACCATTGAAATATTGATGGTGATGACAATGACAAAAACATGATGATGATCATCATTGAAGCTTAATGTATATATTACTGTATATATAGTCACATTTCATTATTAGGACCATTAAATCACACACCAATCTTGCCATGTTTTTGTTGTTGTTATTATTATCCCCCTATTTCTCATATATCATCAGATATTGAAAATAATACCCGGACAACAACAACAACAACAACAAACCAACGAATGACAACGGTGATAAAATGAATGATTGATGATGATGATGAACAAACAAAATGTGTACATAGAAATCATGATTTGAAAGCTATTATCATCATCATTGTGATTGTGATTTACTAAAATGGATCGATGCTAACAAAAAAAAAATGTTTTTTCACGTTAGAGAATAAAATGATATAGTGATTTCAAATGAAATGATCTTACTTGTAATCGATTGTTGATGATGATGATGATCATCATCATCATATTATTATTATTATCATCATCATCAAGAATGACATTAAACAGCATTGCTGCCATTATAATTCCATCAACACATTTTATGTTGTTTTTTTTCTGTTTGAGATTTTTTTTTTTGGAATTTTTCTAAATGAATTTCTGGAATTTTTGTCGATAACATTTACCGTTCAACAGGATGATGATGTAATAATGACAATGATAAAAAAAAATAGAAAATAACATTAACAATTTGATGTTTTCAGAAGAAAATTGTTTTTTGTTGTTGTTGTTGTTCGTTTGTTTGTGAATGTTTTTATAATAACATTATTCTATAACGTTATTCGAGAGAGAATTTTGATTGTCTTTTCATCTTCTTGTTGTTGTTGAATCGTCGGCAATTTTTTTTCCATGTTTTAGTTTTGTTGTTGATGCATGTCATTTTTTTTTCAAATTTCGTTTTTCATATTGAGAATAAAGTTTTGTAGACAAAATTCGAGACAATTTTTTTGGTTTCAGCTACAAATATCCAAGAAAAAGTGATCGAAAATCAGTAACAAGAAACCAAAAATTCAAAGAATGATATAGAAAGAATGTAAGTGAAAATAATATTCTCTTTCTCTCTCCCTCTCTGGTTTTTCTTCTTGATTTCACGAGAAAATTTTCGTTAATGTTGGCTGACTGACTGGCTCGGAATAATTCTGCCATCCATTTTAATATATATAGATATGAAGAACAACATACTTCGAATCACAGAATTTTTGTTTCTTGTTGTTGTTATTGTTGATGATGATTATGATTATGTTAGATGTTTTGGTCACTAAATTTCATTTATTTTTGTGTTGATTTTACAACAACTAACAACTAACAACAACAACAACAACAAGAAGAAAATATTAAAGTAAATTGAGAGTTGTAAATAAATTTTGTTATCATCATGTCTTTATCTGTAGTATATATACATTGATTTTCATTTTCTCCATGTAATTTTGAAAATATATTTTGTACACGTCTACATTTCATCTCTCTTTCATTTTTTTTTGAAAAATACCAGGTTCCTAACCGCCATCAGGCCACATTGAACAATGAATGTTGTGTATTGAATTCTCTTTACAAAATAACAACAATTCGGTCACTCAACCATTCTTGTATATTGAGTTGAGAGAGAGAGAGAGAAAAATTCCATTTCTTTTCATTGTTACGGCATGTTAGCCAATGTGGTTATGTTATATCAATAAACAATATTCTTCTTTGGAAATTCAATGTTTTTTTTCAATTCCTATCTCATTCATATGTCATTACTGAATGTTTTTTTCTTTCTCTTATTTTTTATTATTATTTTCCTGTCATTTCACACACACACACACACACACTCCAGAATTTGAAACCTTGAGGCTACCATTCATTTTTTCATTTCATTTTTTTTTCTTATGATTCAAAAAAATAAAAATTCATGTCAACATCATATTGGTTACAATTTTCTGTTTTTTTTTCTTTCCATTTTATTCTTTCGATTCATTTCAATTCTATCCATGTTGATATAAACAATGATGATATGACAGATATTGGATGAAAATAAACAGTAACCAACCCAAACAACAACAACAAACGGGTTCCATTTTTTATCAAGATTAACCAGTGAATTTTCTTTGCCAGTGTGTGTGTGACTGTTTGTATACTGAAATTCACAAATAGCTTGTTAGTAAATAGAAAAAATTGTAATTTCTAATTTCATTTGTTTTCAATGCTAGAATCCAATCAAACTAAATTCTTATTATTCGGTCTTATTATCATCTTTTCTTCGTGTTCAACACAATACATAACAAAAGAATCAGCAGCAGCAGCATGCGGATGTTCGGTGTGTGTGTGTGCGAACACCCAATTATATTTTTTTTTCACTTTAGACATCTCGTTTCTATTTGATTTTGGCAACACTATTTTTTTTTTATTTTCCGTGAAAAAAAAAAAAAGTTGATTTGTTTCGGAATTGAATTCTTCACAACTTTTTCCTTTACTTTTCTTTTCTGACTCTATTGCTTATATTATTATTATTGTGATCATTATGAATTTACAATTATTCTATGCACATACTCATACAACACGGACACATAATTATTCATCGGACGAGAGAATTGTTTCCTTGATTATTTAGACATTCGTTTAATGGGAAAAAAAAGAATTCACCATTTTCTCTTTTTATTTTTTTTTGTCAAACAAAAGAATCAAAAATTCTTTACTCTTTTCAAATGATGATGTGAAAGTTTATTCTATAGAATTTTTCATCACTCTATTTTTCTTGCATCTAATTTTCATTTCATTTCATTTTTATTTTTCGTTATCTTTTTTTTGTCTCTTGATAAACCGGATAATTTTATTTTTTTTATTTTTCATTTTCATTTTCACCAGTTCAAAGTTCTAAATGAATATTGTACATCATTAAAAAAAGTTTGCATTCGTGGCGAACCCGGACCAAGAGGACTTAAAGGAAGTAAAGGCAAGTCAAATAATAATAATAATAATGTGATGTTTTCATTTTCATTCAAATTATCTTTCTGAAAAAAATGCAAATAATTTCATTGAAAACATCAACATCATCAACAACAACAACAACAACCACTTCTTTTTGAATATCTCTAAACAAACAAACATAGGCGATCGTGGTTTAGATGGAATTGATGGTCTCGCTGGAGAACCGGGCCTAGAAGGAACACCGGGGCGTGATGGGCGTGATGGTGTTGATGGTCGCCCTGGTGTTGGCGTATCCGGTAAACCCGGGATCCCAGGTGAGTGTCTGTATTTTTTGTTTGTTTGTTTGTTTTGATTGAATCGAATAGTGGAAAAAAAACGAAAAATTCAGGAAAATATAAAAATCGAAACCAAACAAAAACTCATCGAGTCAAGTACCTGAAAAACTATTTATTTTTTTTACAAAATCGTGAATTGAAGAATTCAAATGATAAAGTAGTTTTTCCAGTTTATTTATTTATTTTTCTTGATGATTGAACACGCATCGATTCAAAATGTACCCATCATCATCATCAACAACAACAACAACAACATTGATGGTGATGAATTATTATGAAAACTAAATGAAATCATAGTGTGTACTCGACCTGAACTATGTATTATTCTTGGTGAATTGATGCTCTTGAAATCAATTTCACTTGTTATATTCTGTTTTGATTTTTCTGTTTGGAAAAAAAAACATTAAATTTATTCTTCATTTTTCTCTTTTCTTTTTCTTTCTTGACATTTTTGCACAGGAAAAAATGGAACTGATGGTAATGTTTACTTGTTGTTCAATATTGGATGCCATTCCTCTTTTTTCATTGATTTGATTTTCGCGACAAGATTTTTTTTCCTTTTCAGTTTGAATCAAGTGAAAGTTTTAATAAAATTTTTTTTCTTCCATTTCGCTTTTATCTTGTTTTTTTGTCGGAAATCGAATCGAAAATGTTTTAAAAACGTACATTAAACAAACATTAGGACCAAAAGGTGAACCAGGATTGAATGTAAGTTTTTATTCCTTTCTTTTAAACTTTTAAAAATTCGATTATCGATGAATCTCGTCGAAAAATAAAAGATCATTTAGTTTTTTTTACTGAAAAAAAGTAAACAAAAATCGATTAATTTCATTTTTTTTCTGTGTTTTATTTTGTTTTTCCATTCATTTTGGAAATTTTTGAACAACAACAACAACAACAACAAAAAAAACCATCAACAACAGGGAAACCCCGGTAAGTAAACTTTGACTCTTTTTTTTCATAATGATTTTGAGATTGAGAATGATTGTTTACAAATTTCTTGTTAAAAAAATTTCCGAAACATTTCTTTCTTTTGGCCCTGAATCGATCGATTGGTTGGGTAATTTGTTGGTGAATAACAACAAAAAAAAAAACTAAACATTATTCATCAATCATATTCTGATTATTCTCGTTCGGTTCATATGGAATATTCCGTTTTTGCTGATGTACAGGACCTCCAGGTATGTGTTCTCTCTTTCTCTCACCGATCAATCATTGATGTTGTTGTTGATGATGATCATTATTCTAATGAAACTTTGTTTTCCATGAAATGTTTTTCTCTCTCTCTCTATCTATATTCATCATCATGTTACGAATATTGTATTAGGTCCTAAGGGAAAACGTGGTCCACCCGGTCAAGATGGTAAGTTTTTTTTTTTGTTTTGTTTTTGTTTCTTATGTTGATGATGTCTTACAATTTACATCATTATACAAATATATATACACTGAAATAAATAAATTTCTCATTTTCTCTTTTTTTTACATGGTCCCGGTTGACTTTTGTCATCATCAAAACCTTATACTGTCATTTGTCATTTGTCACGCAAATTCACATTAAATGTGAAAAAAATAGGCAAACCTGGTTTAACAGTACAAGCATGGCATCATCAAAACGATACCTTGTTGAGTATGTTTTTCTTGTTGTTTTTTTTCGTTTTTGTTTTTATTTTTCATTGACATTATCATATAGCAGCACTAAGAGAATTATTCCTATATATGATTTATACGATTTTTATTTCACATTATATTTATTCTCTTATAGTTGCACCGATAATCGATCAAATCAATCCATCTACACAAACATTAACGGTTCGTGAAAATGAACAAATACATCTACAATGTGTAGCAAGTGGATATCCAAAACCAAAAATTACATGGCGTCGTGATGATGATCGACCAATTCATATCGATAGAATTGCTTGTATGTTTTCATTTTCTTTCTGTTTTAATATTTTTTTTTCTATCATCAATGATGATAATTGTGATATTCGAACAAAAAAAAAAAATACGATACTAATTGAACCATTATTCTGTTGCTCCCTTGATGATATCGTTTTTTTATCTCATAATTGCTTTTACATTGCTTTTCCATTGATTTTTTTGTTATTGTCGTTATTGTTTATATGATGATGATGTAATAGATAATTTAATCGAATCGGATGAGCTAAATATAAGTCAAGTTAACCGTGACAATTTTGGTTCGTATAAATGTGATATGTTATTATCAATCGGATATCAAACGATAATTTTATTTTTTTTTTGTTCTCTTTTCCAAATAATTCCAGGACCATATAAATGTGTAGCCACAAATGGAATTCCTCCGGCTGCTACACAAAGAATTAATTTATTAGTCACCTGTGAGTGATTCGTGCTTATGATTCCCTTTTTTTAAATTATCATTAATTTCTTTTTATTATTATTATTATTATTCTATTCCGAATCAATTCTTTCATTTATTAGTTCCACCATTAGTGAAAATTCTCATACAAAAACAAATGATAGGCACACGTAAAGGTTCATGGGTTGTATTAGAATGTTATATTGAAGCATATCCTGAACCATTTGTCGATTGGATTTATGGTGATGGTCAGATTATTGTTGAAAATGAAAAATATAATAAATCTGAAGAAATTTTAGAATCACGAATTTCACATTCAATAAGTAGACGTGTTATGTTGAACATAACGAATGTACAGAATGAAAATCTAGGCCTTTATAAATGTTTGGCACGTAATCAACTAGGACGAACATATGGAATTATTACACTTTATGGTTTGTTGGTTATCGTTAAAAAAAATTTTGTACAATTCTAATAATTTTTTTTTACTGGTAAAAAAATTTCTTTCAATAACCAGAAACGGATAGTAAAACGACAACAAATACGATCGAATCGTTGGAAAAATCCATTCAATCGTTAAAAGACGAATCATTTGTCGTTTATGGTGAGGTGAGTAATTTTAGTTCCATTCTATTTTGGTTGTTGGAATTATTGGAATTCGATGAAAATAAAATCAGAACATTAACATTTTTTTTATTTCTGTTTTTTTTAAAAAAATAGCTACCAAAACCTATAGAAACAAAAATTCCTTGTGCACCGTGTCCAACATGTACAACACCAACAAATCCATATGCATCCATACAACAGCAATGTAAACAAGGTCAGCGACCTGAAATTATCAACATGGGCGTTTCGGTGATATTCAATCATACGAATATGCAACGGATAACTAAACGTACCGATGGTATGAATGTTTTTCCATTTACGATTTCTTTCATTCTTAATTCTCATCGTTCATCATCCATGAGCTTGTTATTTACGATTTTTGTTTGACTTTTCTCATTTATTTTTCTTTGTTTTTTTGTTGCTTATTTGTTGCCAAAATTGTAGAATGTCATTTGAGCCAAATTGGCAAACCAGTATTCTATGGTGAACGTTCCGATCAGATCGGATGCTGGATGCGTGATCCAAATCCTATACGTCCGGAAGATGGTGAAAAATATTGGCTCACACGTATTGAATATAATAAATTATTGGAAGAATATGATACAAAAGAAATGTTTCGTAATAGAATTATAACGAAAAATTACACTTTATTATATCCGTTCTCTGGCAATGGACAGGCAATCAATTCTGGTATATTCTATTATGCTGAAGAGAATACATATAAGCTTATTATGTTTAATATGTATAAATCCGAATGGGAATTTATCAACCTGGAACCAAATCCGATTGCAATCAATGTTGGCAATACAGTTATTGGACGTTCATCATCAACAACATCAATGTTGCAGCCTTTATCATCAACAATAAAAAATAAATTACCAAGACATGTACACCATCATCATTATTATAATAAACATCAACATCATCATTATCAACAACAACAACAACAACAACAAAAATATCGCAATAATCGACTAAAACGTAATCAAAATAATGTAGACAACAATCAACAACTAAATGAACAACATAATGTTGATGATGATGGTGATAATGATGATGATGATGGTAGTAATAGTAATAATAATGATAAAAGAAAATTATTATATACAAATCAATTAAATCATATGGATATATCAGTGGATGAAAATGGTGCCTGGGTTATTTATCCAAATATCTATAGTGAGCTTAATAATACTATTATTATGAAATTCAATGGAACAAATATTGAATTTATATGGAATTTAACTGTTGATTATCATAAATTAGGTGAAACATTTATATTGTGTGGAATAATTTATGGAATCGATTCTACACAACAATTACATACACATATTGTTTTGCATATGATCTATATAAAAATGTTGAATTAAAAAATTTTGAACAAATTGAATTTACAAATCCATTTATGAATACAACATATGTTGGTTATAATTCTAAACATCAGACATTATATACATGGGATAAAGGTAATATACTTGAATATTTATTGAAAATTGAAATGATTTCCAAAACAAAACAACAACAACAACACCAGCAACAATCATCATCATCATCATCAACTGATAATCCAACAAATTTTGAACATCATAATAATGACGCAGCCACAATTGATTGAATGAAATGATTTTACAACAACAACAAAATTCACATTTTCAAGTGTACTTATTGGATATTTGTAATAAATAAAACCTCATTCACTTACACACACCCACACGCAAACAGGCACACAATGGACACACATAATGATATCAATCTTGTTTCAATAAAATATAATTATCATCTCTTTTTTTGTTGATATGTAATTTTCAATCAATTTTTTTCAAAATGAAATGAATAAAATCAATATCATATCAATACGTTTTTTAAAAAAACCTGATTATATATTTCTAAAATGTGTGAATGTGTGAATTTCGTAATAATTTTTGCGATTAGATAAAAAAACAATAAGATAATGGTAAAACAAAAAGTTTGTTCATTTCTTGGGTTTTTGGACTTTTGCATTTGTACTTGGCATACATTTTTGTACTTTTGAGTGGCACATTTAACCCACATTTACAAATCGGTCACATTGTTTCACTTTTTTTACATTTACATCATTGATAAAAACAAACAGACCATAGGCATAGTATTGAGATATAGCTCAATGCTATTGATTTTGTGATATTAAATTTCACTAGAAAATGTATCATTTTTGTTTTTTGTTTCTTCATCAATTAATTGATTGCTAATAATTCATAGAAAATTGCTTATAATTTGAAAGTTATCGATTAATTTAAATCGAATCTAACATTTATTATTAGAATAATTTGCTTATTACGCATTTAAAAAAAAAAAAAAAAGATGAGAAAGAGAGGGAGAGAAGGAAATATTGCGTTCTATGTGTTTTGTGTGTGTGTGTGTGTGTCTGTTTGTCAATATGACTTCCTTTTGATTCGCATTTTTTTTTCTCCAAATATTATTCAATAGAATTCAATATTGTTACCACTACTTGATGGCAGTGGCAACAATATGAAATGTCGGCCACAATCATCAACATTGTTGCTTTATGCGATGTCTGTTGATCATCATTGCCTTTCGTAGTCGTCGTCGTCGTCGTCATCAGTCAGTATTGATAAATTACGAATGGAACAAAAACTTTGATGATGATGGTGGCGACGATGATCATCATCATGGCCATCATTGTTGATCATTTGTGTATATTGACAACGTTGACTGCTACCACAATGTTTTTTTTTCTCCTTCATATTTCGGTTGGATTTTTTTTCCCTTCGATTTTACTTTTGATTCATTCATTCATTCTTGTCATTGTCGTAGTATAATTTTTTTTTTGGTGTTAGGTTTAAAAATGAACGACTATAAATGAGTAAATCTGAATGCATGTGTTTTTATGGCTTTTAAGCGCCAGTCAAACGTTGTCGTTTTTATTGATATCGATATGTCAGCATCCACGTTGAAAAATTTGATTGAATTTCGTAATTATATTGAATCAAAATCTCAATCATTATCGCAATTATTATCATTTTTTGTTGTTGTTGTTGTTATCGTTGAATATTTTCATCCTATTTAACTCTTCGATAAATTTTCATTTTCATTGTTTTCATTAGTATAAATTCAGCTTTTAAACATTAAACATTATTTTTTTTTCTATTGTTTTTCATTGTTATTTGTTTCAATTACATTCATTGAAAATTTCTATCTATTTTTGTCAGTATTTCAAATCATAATGTCGACTAAAATATTGAAATTGAATCATTTATTCCGATGTGGTAGTGGTGGTGGTGGTTGCGGTGGTGGCCATCATTATTCAAAATCACGATTATTGGCCACACCAATCATTACAGCTAGTAATCGTAATGTTTCAACAGATTTATTAACATCGGAAACTTTACCGTAAGTTTAAATCACCATTTTAAATCTGAATTTAAACATTCGAAATTTAAGTAATGACCATCCGCATATACAGATACACTTGTATCAATGTTCAATCGATAAATATGGTATATGAGTACAAATGTACCAAATGATTTTTTTTGTTTGTTCTAAAAGCTAAATTTTCTTATGTTTCACTGATTTTTTGCTAAATAATGCATCAATTTTCCATATATGTAGATTTATTCATATAATCATTATTTTTCACTATATTTTACTATGAATCCATTAGGCCATATGTAAATTTACCTTATTCATATGCATTTGGTCGTAGTTTAAATCATATCATTTATGAAACTATTGGTAAACGTTTGGATGATCGTTTAAAAATTGGTAAGATTAAAAAAACTGATTATTGTATGTGAATGAATGAAAATTGTTGTTGATTTTTTTTTTTGAATCATAGAAACGGGTAAACCAATCATTATAAGTCATCATGAAAATATTAAGAAAACCATCAGTGAATTCTATCAAGATGTTAATCGATTATCGAAAGCAATGTATGAACATTTGAATATTAAAAGAGGTGATGTTGTTGGTCTTTGGAGCTGTAACACTTATGATTGGGTATGATGAATGCATTTTTTTGTTTTGTTTCCCATTCTCATTAACATTCATTTTTTCATTATTTTTTCTTTTAAAAACCTTTTATTCCATTTAAAGATTGTCATACAATATGCCTGTTTTCGAATCGGTGCTATCTTGTGTACGGTCAATCCATTCTATCAATCATATGAGCTTGATTATGCTATACGTAAAGGTGAAATGAAAGCATTATTCATGCCTGGACATAAATCACGTCAGGATATTGTGAATCGATTTTCAACAATTACAATGAAAACATTGGAGAAAAAAGCCGATGATCAAGTAAGTGTTTTTATTGTAACATTAATTAATTAATCAATCCTGATTATTATTATCATCAACTATTCAGAATCAGTCAACATTTCTACTTGAAAATATTATTACAGTGGATGGCCATCCATTTAATGTATCCGATTTGCCTGATCATCATCGTAATATTCGTTTGTTTGAATTGGAAAAATTAAAACAACAGACCGGTGAATTAGATTCATCTATAACAAATTTGGTATTACCAGATGATCCAGCTGTAATAATGTTTACATCGGGTACAACTGGACGTCCAAAAGGTGCATGTCTCTCACATTTTAATATAGTCAACAACGTAACAATGTGTTCATATAGAGCTGATGTGAAAGAAAATGCATTATTCTGTGTTCCATTACCATTTTTTCATGCATTTGCCGGTGTTCTCGGCAATCTGATACCGATCGCATCAGAAACTGGTGGATTAATGATACCGTGTTTAAAGTATGACGTAAGACAATTAGCACAATCTATCAATGAACATGGAGCCACACATATGATGGCTACACCTACATTGGTGATAGATTTATTAAATTATCTTCGTGATAATAAACTACAATTATCAACATTACAAGAAGTGATGGCTGGTGGCGCTTCAATGCCAATTGAAATTGCACATCAATTAATGGAATTTGCATCCAATTGTAAAGTACGTGTAGCATATGGTGCAACTGAAACATCTCCATGTGCAACAACGTTTTCGAAAAAATCAACAATTGAAGAATCAATAGAAACTGTTGGTTCACCATTGGATTTTGTTGAAATTAAATTAGTTGATCCGAAAACCAAAAAAATTGTCAAAATTGGTGAAACCGGTGAACTACATTGTCGTGGTCATGTTATCATGTTAGGTTATTGGCGTGATCCGGAAAAAACTAAAGAATCTATTGATGAAGGAAATTGGTATAACACAGGGTATGTTATATCTATATAGATAAGTAGTGTATATTGTTCAACAACAATTTATTCAATATTAAAATAGAGATTTGGCTGTTATGACCGAAAAAGGTTTGATAAAAATTATTGGACGTACAAAAGAATTGATTATTGTTGGTGGTGAAAATGTTTATCCTCGTGAGATTGAAGAAATTCTTTACACTCATCCGGCTGTCGAAACTGTCAATGTATGTTTCACCAAAATCATGATGTAATTGATAAAAATAAAAATAAAATTTGAATTTATAATTTTTTTTACAGGTCATTGGTGTACCAGATCCACGCAAAGGCGAAGAAATCTGTGCATGGATACAACTACACAAAGATGTCAAAATAACTGAAGATGAAATTCGAGAATTTTGTAAAGGACAAGTAAGTGAATTTTTTGTTGGAAAAAAAACTTGAAAATTTGTAACAAATTTTTTTTTCATATTATTTGATTGATATATAGTTGACATATTTCAAAGTTCCTAAATATATTCTATTTGTCGATTCATATCCAATGACACCGACTGGAAAAGCTCAAAAATTTATAATGAAAAAAATGACTATTGAAAAATTAAATTTAAAAACTGAATGAACAAATGAAAGAAAATCAAAAGTGTGAAAATTCATTTTTTTTCAAAACCAAAATCATCACCTCAACTGGAAATGTATGGAAACCGGTGTCTTATTTTAATCGGGGGGAAAAAACAAAAAGAAACCTCATCATCATCATCATTATCATTATCCACTATCGTAATTCCATTTTTTTTACTTTAATGCTTGAAATGCCAGAAATTTTTATATTTTTTTATTATTCAATGTTGAAAAAAAGACAATCAATCAATCAATCAAAATATATTGTGAATAAAATGATTGTAAACATTTTTTTTTTTTTTTGATTTTAACAAAAATTCATCTGTTCATTTCAATAATAATAATGATTACGATGAATACTGATGATGATGATCAAACACACACTATAGGAAACAAAAACAAATCAAGCTGAATAAATCTGATAATAATAATTAGGTAAAATTTCACCAAAACAAACAAACACACACACACACACACACATAAAGATATACAAAATATCTCAGACACACCTGGATTTTAACTACAATATATCATCATGGAAACAATGAATAGTGAAACGAAAAAAATCTAAATTTTAAAGCCAGATTTTTTTTGTTGTTGTTGTTGTTGTTCATTTTTCTCTATAATTTGAAATCAATTTTTCATTCATCAATATCGATCATATAGATATTCATCATTCATCGACATTGACGATCAATCAATCGTATTTTGATTGATTTGTTGCCAATTGAAATACTATATATCGGTGACAAATAGAAATTTTTTTTTTTTCACTTGAATGTCAAATTGTGTTCAATTTTATTTTTCATTAATTTTTCAACATTAAAATCAACAACAACAACAACAATTCAAAATGTTTGAAACAAAAAATAAATTTTTTTAATTTTACCGCCAAAAAAAATACAAGATTCATGGTCAATCATTGTGGTTTATGTTGAAAAAAAAACGTTTTCTTCGATTTAACCATTACGTTTACGTGTTCATGTGTTGTTACCAAGTGCAGTAAAAAAAGATTAAAAAACAAACAAATTTTTGTTTCATTTATTGATATTGATATTTCATTGTGTTTTCATAGTGGCCTAACATTGCCACTAATTTTTTTTGTTTCTTTTTTTTTTTTTTTTGATTACAAACGAAAAAGCCAACCATCCGTAGTGATCACGTTGCTGGCTTGCTTGCTTGCTTTTCACCAAATTTTTTCTTCCATTGTGACGACGAGAAAAAATTATCTATTTCTGGTGTAAATTTATCATTATTCATCATCGTCGTCGACTCGTTTTCTCCATTTGAATTGGATTTTTTTTTCTCGCCACTTTGTTCTTTATTTTGGATCTTTGAAATCATCAAAAAAATGTCGATCAAAAATATTGATTCAAGTGACCGGCATATTTTGCCAAATGGACATCATAATAATAATAATGATGATGATGATGATGGTAAAGATTCAATTATTGAGGAAAAAAAATTACAACAATCTGACGATGATACGGAACAACAACAACAACGCGATCAATGGGGTGGACAGGTGGAATTCCTGTTGGCTTGTCTGGGAAATGCCGTCGGTTTGGGCAATGTATGTTTCAATATGACAATCGTTTTTTTTCTTATCAAATTTTCATCATCCAAATTGATTCATCTGTTTTTTTCCTTGCTCAGTGTTGGCGATTTCCATATTTATGTTACAAAAATGGAGGCGGTATGAATATTTTTTTTTGTTTTTCACATTTTCAAAAATAAAATTTATCCATATATATAGGTGCCTTTCTTTTACCATATCTAATCTGTTGTCTAGTAATTGGTTTGCCATTATTTTTAATTGAATTGGGTTTGGGACAATTTTCCGCTATGGGTCCAGGACAATTATGGGCCAATCTGTCACCATTGTTTCGTGGTGTTGGTCTAGCATCGATTATTTCATCAGCTATTGTTGCCATCTATTATAATATGATCATTGCATGGACATTGTTTTATTTTGTTGAATCATTTTTTGGTCAAAATTGGCAACGATGTACAAATGAATTTAACACTGAAAGTATGTATCGATCAAACAAGCTATGGCAAAACCAATTTCAACAATTATTTTGCAATTAATAATAATTTACATTCCTAATTTGAATATTAATTAATCGACGAATAACTTTCATATATGATACTGTAGATTGTTTCTCCATACTCAACAATAATAATAATATCACTACAAATCGATTTAATTTCACCAATACAAATGTCGATGTTGTTTTTTCTAATCATTCCATTTCATCAACTGAAGAATTTTTCAAGTAAGTTCAGATAAACAGCAAACAAGATTGTAAAAACTCATCATTTTGATGATGATGATGCCATAATCAACGTTTAAAGTCTAGCACATTTTCATTGATTGTGGTGAAAGTGAATGAATGAAAACAAAACCAAAAAAAAAAAAAAAAAATTATATTACTACTAATTGCAACTACTAATTAAAATGAAATTATTTTGTTTTCCTTTTTTTTCTATTTGCATTGTTTTTTTTTTTTTTTTTTTCTCGACAGCAATTATGTTCTAATAAAATCCAATGGTATTGACGATATGAATGAAATGAATTGGAAATTAGTTGCAGCATTATTCATTTCATGGTGTATAGTTGCATTGGCATTAATTAAAGGCATACAATCATCCGGTAAAGTTGTTTATTTTACGGCCACATTTCCATATGTTATTTTGGCAATATTATTGGCACGTGGCATTACATTACCCGGTTCATATGATGGTTTACATTATTATCTAATGCCTAATTGGAAACGAATCTATGATGTTGATGTTTGGCGTGATGCAGCCGTACAGGTATTTTATAGTTTTGGTATTGGTAAGTATCGTATATCGTATAATTGCATCAATGATAATGATGATGATCATCATCATCATTATTATTATCATTGTTGTCATTATTAAAATTGTTTGAATTGCTAAAAAAAATATGAAAAAAAACTGAATTTTTATTTATAGGCGGCGGTGGTATGATAACATATGCTTCATATAATCGTTTCCATAACCCGGTGGTAAGTGATTCAATTTATTTTTTCATCTCTGAATGAATGAGATACGATCATATTGTTTGATTTGTTTTCCTTTGGCTCGCTTATTATATCCATTCTGATGGTAATTGTGTTGTTGTGGTGTGTTTTGTTAGTATCAATTTGATAGAGCAGTAGAGTGAAAGTGAAAATAGAAAAACAACAAACGTTAGCCGGGATCAGATTCGTTGTTTCGAAACAACAACAAATTGTAATGTGTTTTTTTTTTAGATTTGTATCATTCATTGCGGTGGATTTTTTTTTTTTGGATATACCGAAATGCCAAAAAAAAAGATTGTATGATTGAGAGAATATTGAGAATTTTGTCTGTTTGAATTTTGGTCAGTGTGTGAATTTACTGTTGCTGTTTTTTTTCTGATGGGAGTTGATTTCATCTATAACAAAAATTGGATAAAATAATAATGGTTGGTGGTTGAAATATTAACCAGCCAATTCGAGCAATGATGAACCAAAAAAAAAAAAAAATGATTTCATTTCTCTCTCTTTGTTTTTTGTTTTGTTGAATAATTAATGTTTTTTGTATTGTTTCGAGTAAATTATATTGTTACGATTTTTTTCCTTTGTTTTTTATTTTCATTTCCTTCCTTTTTTTATTCTTTATTCTATTTCTCGAATAACCGGGCGACAATGACCACCACTATCCTATTTTTTGGGTTTATTTCTGGTTCGGAAAACAAACAAACAAACGAAATAAAAAAATTTTTTGACCACCAACAAACCAACCAACCATCCATAGACTAAACATGCATTATTGGTTGGTATTGGAGATTTTGCTACATCGATATTCTGTGGTGCCGTTGTATTCACCATGATTGGTTATATGGCATCAGCATTAAATAAACCAATCGAACAGATTGTACAAGATGGAGCTGGTAAGTTAGTTATTATTATTATTATTTCGAAACAAACAAACAAACCAAAATAAAAAAAAACAATCAAAGTAATTGATCTAAAAAAAACAACAACAACAACAAACATACAAAACAAAATGACAATGATAACATTCCATGTGATTGAAATATATATTTTTTTATATTACTTTCAATTTTTCTCTCTTTCTCTCTCTCTTTTTTTAGGCTTAGCATTTATTGTCATACCCGAAGGCCTTTCCCGGATGCCAATATCATTATTATGGTCGGTACTATTTTTTACCATGTTATTTCTATTGGGTATCGATTCACAATTTGCCATGGTCGAAACGGTCATCACTTATCTATTTGATGACATTGTAAGTAATTTTAGTTTAGTTTTTTAATTCTTTGGCCATTTCACTTAACAACAACAACAACAACACAAGAATTAATTGCCAAGTTTTTTCATGTCGAAATAACGATTATTTGTTTCAAATGATCGTTACTTACATTAATTTATTTTTTCATTGTTGTTGTTGTTGTTTCATTGTCATTTCTCTTTTGATCGAGTTTTGGTTTCTCTCTCTCTCTCTCTATGATGATGTTATTTTTATGTTCACAATTTGTTTAATTTGTTTTTTTTTTGTTTTGATTTCCTTTTTTTTAATAGCGATCCAAAAAACTTAAAGTCAACAAACCATTGATTGTTATATTGACATCTATTGTTTGGTTTCTATTTGGTTTACCATTATGTACGAATGCTGGTATCTATATTTTTACCATTATGGATGAATATTCTATTGGTATACCATGTCTTGTGATTGGTCTTTTGGAAATTTTTATCGTCACTTATATTTATGGTAAAATTTGTTGTTGTTTTTTTTTTTTTTTTGGTTTAGATCTCTCATTATTATTTCTTTCATATTTTGTAGGAATTGATATATTTTTCGATAATCTAGAAAAGATGACTAAATGGAAACCAAAAATATTGTTACAATCACATCTAGTCATAATGATCACTGTTATTGCACCGGGTGTAATGTTGTGGATATTAGTGAAACAATTGTTCGAAACACCAGCATTAAATTATGGTTCATATCAATATCCATATTGGGCCATTTGGATTGGCTGGTCATTTGCATTATTATCGATCATTGCCATACCATTGATGATGATTAAAGAATCGTTACTAGTATTATTTTCGAATAAATATTCGAAAAAAACAATCAATCAAAAATTACGAATGCTTATCAAACCAACTGGTAAATGGTGGAATAACTATAATCATATGCATAAAAATGAATCATTTTATGATGATACAATCATGAATAATGTCCATAATAATAACAATAATCAAATATCAACGACAGATAGTTTTGATTTAATGATACAATCAGCATCGAATGAAACAATTAATGAAATTCCAACGAAAATAATTTCTACAAAACCAATAAATGGACGTATCAATCATGCAGCAACTATTAATGATGAATGAATGAATCAGTTCAGCATTCGAACATCTGAAAGAATTTTCATCAATCACAAACAATTATTGGACATTCCATCGTCATCATCATCATCATCATCATTTTCATCATAAACATTAAATTTAAATTGACAAATTTTATCAAATGACCAAATTTCTAAGTTAAATGTAAAGAAATTGAATGAAAAAAAATGAATTAAATTATTAAAATCAATATTACGAAATCTTCAATCTTCAATCCTCAAATCCAACATTGTCGATGTTATCGATTATACGTGTTCAATCCGATTCGATTCGATTCGATTCAAATTGAAAACCATGTAGAATTGTCAAATTGAACTTTTTTTTTCTCCTTATACTGATTGAGGTCATTGGAAAAAACTTTATTGTGTCTCAAAAACACAAAAAACAACATTTGCGTGATGATTAAAATTCATTTGTTTGTTTTAGTTATTATTTTTCTTCCTATTTTTTAAAAAAAAAAATTAATCTCTTATTCGGGTGGAATTTAGTCGGATTGAAAAAAAAATCAACTTCGTCGTTAACGATGATGACAATCACAAAAAAAATCATCAATTTTTTCTTTTGTTTTATATATACTGCACATGAACTAACTATAATCAACAAGTGATCTGAAGAAATGTTTTAATAGGTGATTGACTATGTGTGTGTGTGTGTGTGTGTGTGTGTTTGTGTTCATGTATGGTCCAGATGTTTGGAACAACTTGATAATAAAAAAGAAATTTTGTTTTCATTCATTCATTCATTCATTCATCCATTCACTTTATGGCTGGCAGAAATTTTTTTTTTTTCTTTCATTTCCACATTAAATGATTGATCCATTTGAACTATATGGACATTAAGTGATCCTTTCTCGTCTGTAAATGTTGCCCATGTATTGTATATGAATGAAACACACATTTTCGGGTGATGATCGTAATCATCATCATCATCATTATAAATCGTGTAATAGGTCATTGTTTGTTCGTCGTTGTCGGTGTGTGTGTGTGTGTGTGTGTGGTTCCATTTAATAAGATTTTATTCATTTTTTTCAAAAAAAAAAAAAAAATTCATATTTGATGATGATGATGATGATTTCAATAAAATCGGACAAACAGCAAACTAAATGGAAAAATCTTTTTAAAATTATCAAATTAAATTTTCGGAAATTTTTGTTTGTCTGTTTATATTGTAGTGGTTATTACACAATGATGATGTTTTATTCACACTTCATGCGAAATGATGATGATGATGATGATGATGATGATAAAAAGTCGTAAAATTTTCTGAAAAATCAGTCTGAATTTTTGTTTTCTCTAAGTTTGGAATTATTTTGTTGGAATTTTTATTATTTTGAATTCATTCATATATGTATGTTTTTGTCCATTCTTGGCATTTGTTTTTTTTTTTTATTTTATTTTATTATTAGTCTATAGAGATCGTTCTTGTCGATTTAGGTAGGTATAGTTTCTTTTTGACAATTTTGTTTTTTTTTCTATTCTGGTCAGAAATTTTGTATAAATAATCGACACATTTTACCATCATTATGACAATAATAATGTCTATGATGATCATCATCATCATCATCAATCATATCCACGACTACAACGACGAAAGAAAGAAATCAAACAACAATTGACCAAAAGACCAACTTTACTAATATATAACGAAAAATGGTAAGATTGATTATCCAAAAAAAAATAAATTAGATTCGATTTGATTGATCAATGATGTGGCAAACAAAAAAAAAGGAAAGTTGAAATTGTTAATTGATTTTCAATCTATTTTTTATTTTTTTTTTCATCTCCACTTACCTATTTGCCGAATCTATAGTTTCGATTTTCATTATTTCTACTATTATTGTTGGTAATGACTATTTTTGGATCAAATTCATTTCGAATCCATATGGCTAATAATGGTAAACATTGGAATCCCATCATGGTGGATAATAATAATCATCATCATCAATTGAAGAAAAATGATTTAACAATCAACCATAATTCACAATTGAATTTGATACAATCATTCTTGCCTATTCATTCACATAATGATCATTATCATGGTATACGACAACAATATCAATCATATACAATTATACCGAAATTAAATCCAATTCCAATAACAATATCATTATCAAATGAACCATTTATTCCATTACAATCAGAATTGATGGCTGATTCATACAATGATGGTCTAAAGAATAATAAAAAACAACAACAAAATTTTTCATGTCAACTATATAATACACAAACACGTTTGTATGGAATTCTTAGACCACAATGGTGGTGGTGGCAATGTCTATTCAATGATTATCAACAACCACAACAACAACAACAGCAGCAAACAAATCATTTTGGTCAACAATCGACTGAAGATTTTGTTCATGATACGAATCATTGGAATGCATATTTTGTTAATCAAACTCTTGCTAAATTTCAAAAAAATGTTCAATATAATATGGAAAAATCCATGAAACCAAAATCGATGATCATGATGATGACAACGAAATATAGCCACGGTAATAATAATGGAGGTGGTGGTGGTGGTGGTCATACATCACGACCAAAACATCATTATCATTCTCATCATCATCATCATCATCATCATCAATATCAACAACATTATCTATATCGAGCACACTGTTTTGATTGGAAATGTTACTAAACCGACACTGGGTCGCGATTTCATCAAGAAAATTTCAGCTACGATTACGTATGACGATATTATGTATTTTACGTGGATGGGCAATCGTCGTCGTGTTAATCTGATTTCGGAAGATCAAATCGACAATGTCAATGATCACGATCTAACGGATGCAGAAGTCTGTGCACTGGCGGTCGAACATCTTACTGTGGATGATGATGCGGACAATGAAAATGTTTGTGATGAATCTGAACAATTGGGTGTGGTGAATTCATTAATCAATCGGTACATGGATGTGTTCGAAGGTATCGGACGTACAAATTTGGTAGAGCATTCTATCGAATTAAAAACAAATAAGGTGATCAATGTCAAACCTTATCCTGTGCCATATGCATATCGTGATGAAGTCCGTCGAATGTTGGTTGAAATGGAGCAAAATAACATTATTGTTAAATCTCATTCCGAGTTTTGTAGTCCATTGTTGGTGGTAAAAAAGAAAGATGGTTCGTTACGGTTGGCAATTGATTATAGAAAGCTGAATGCTATCTCGAAATTTGACGCACAACCAACACCAAAAGTTCAAGAAATTCTGTTTGGTCTCGACAAAGCGAAAATATTTTCAAAATTGGATTTCAAATCTGGGTATTATCAGGTACCGCTTCGCAGATCAGATCAGGAAAAAACAGCGTTTCGTTTTGAAAACACGTTATATCATTTCTTGGTGATGCCATTTGGGTTATCAACAGCCGCTCAAACTTTTTCTCGTCTTGGAAATATATTGTTTCAACTACCGTTCGTCAAAATTTACATTGATGATGTTATTGTTTTCTCGAAAGACATGGACGAACACGTGAATCACCTTAAACAGGTTTTTGAAATTTTGAAATCAGCTAATTTAACGTTGAACAGAAAGAAATGTGAATTTGCTAAACAACGTATTGAATACTTAGGCTTTGTTATTCAAGGTGGATCGATTCAACCATCTTTTAATAAAACTAAATGTATTCATGAATTTCCGGTTCCGAAATGTAGAAAAGATCTCCGATCATTTCTTGGTTTAGTCAATTCTTATCGTTCATTGGTTCCAAATTATGCTGAAAAATCATTCGATTTATATGAATTGTTGAAACAAAAGAATCGTTTTCTGTGGAAAAACAATCATCAACGTACATTTGAAAATTTAAAAGTATTGATGTCATCACAGCCTGTAGTTAGAATAGCCGATCTAAACCGTGAGTTTATTGTTCGCACTGATGCAAGTGATAAAGCTATGGCGGGCGTGTTACAACAAGTCGATGACAATGGAAATAGATACGTTGTTGAATATTTCTCGAAGAAATTTACAGATTGTCAAAGTCGTTATGCCACTATTGAAAAAGAGGCGACTGCTCTCAAAACGGCGATCGATAAATGGTCAACATATCTAAAAGGCAAAAGTTTCAAATTAGAAACTGATCATCGTCCGTTAGTTTGGATTAAATCTATGGTTAATCGTAACAATAAGTTGGCTAGAATGGCAATCGAACTGGCTGAATATGAATTTGAAATCAGTCATGTCAAAGGTAAAGATAATTGTGATGCTGATGCATTATCAAGAATTGAAATTTCATCGATACAATTCGACGAATTGTCATCTGAACAAGAATCTGATCAACTATTATTATTGGCTCGTAACAAGGATCCGAATTCATTTATTCAAATCAATCATTTGTGGTATTTTCGTCATGCTGGTCGTGATAGATTGTGCATTCCTCAATCACGCGTCAAAGAAATTTTACAGCTGTGCCATGATAAAATGAACCATATTGGTCAACACAAATGTTTAGATATTGTATTTTGTCGTTTCTACTGGCCAAAATGGCGTAATGACGTGAAACAATGGATTCGTAAATGTGCCTGTAATGTGAAAAAAGATAATGATCCTCGACCTGCAAAACAACCTATGTGTGCAACTGATATATTGAATCTCAATCCGTTTGAAAAAGTTGATTCAGGTAAATTAAACTATGAAAAAGAATCGATTATGATGAACAATAAAAATATTTATCATATTAATAATGGTAAACAGTCAAACAATCCTCATCATTATCATAAAAGCCATACATATAATGATGATTATAATGGCCACAATAACATCAGCAACAACAACAACAAAAACAACAATCAAAATGTTGGTGATAATCATGGCCATTACAATAATGATAATTGGAACAAAAGTCAAGGCCATTACAATTACAATCATCATAAATATACAAATGATGATAATGATAATGATGATGATCAAAATAATGGTCATAGATATTATGATTATTATCATCAAAATATTACCGAATTATCAATAATGTCCACAACAGCAGCAACAACAACAACAACAATGATGCCTATTACTATAAATATGGCTACTGTAATTCCAATAAATGCAACATCAATGACAACGACGATGATGATGATGATGATGATGACAAATTTTTCAAATATTCATCATCATAATTGTAAGAAAACAGCAACAAACAACGACAACAATGACATTTGGAATTCATCATCATGAAAATCAGATTAAATTACATATATATAGATTTGCAACAAAC